TTTATACTTTTTTGTGCAGCACTTTGGAAACGTAACTGTTGTTTAAATGTGCTATATAAATAAAGTGGATTGGATTGGATTGGAAATTACCAGAGGTCTACAGGTAATACTTAACCGGTGTGAATAGGGCTTTAGTTGAGTTTTATGTTTTAAATGTTCCCCAAATCTCTCACAAATGAGGAAGATAGACAATATATATGTGAAGTGGCACGTTTTTAACTGCCTTTTTTCAGACTAACCTTTTAAGTAAAAAAGGTTGGTTGTAAAATGCTCAGTTTTAAAATGTTCTTGTTGGCCCTCGCTCCGGATCTTTTTAGTAGATAATTTTCATCTTCTCATTCAACCCTCAGTTGTTGTATATGTTTTAGAGGTCAGGGAAACAAGAGCTTCCAGCGGAAACCTACACTGACATGGGGTACACATGTAAACTCCACACATAAGGCTCCGTCTGGAGGTTGAATCGCGCCGTTCCTCTTCACCCTCTACACTGCGGACTTCAGACACAACACGGACGGTTGTGTTCTACAGAAGTTCTCTGACGACTCTGCCATCATCGGACTCAGCTCCGAGGACGATGACACAGAGTATAGAGGAGTTATACAGGACTTTGTGGACTGGTGTCAGTGGAACCACCTCCTCATCAACGCGGGGAAGACCAAGGAGATGGTGGTGGATTTCCGCAGACGTCACTCTGCCGCTCCAGCTCCAGTGAACATCCAGGGAAAGGACATCGAGAGAGTGGACTCTTACAAGTACCTGGATGTTCATCTTAACCACAAACTGGACTGGACTCATAACACAGACGCCAGAGTCGCCTCTACCTACTGAGGAGGCTTAGGTCTTTTGGAGTGCAGGGGCCACTCCTGAAGACCTTCCATGACTCTGTGGTGGCATCAGCCATCTTGTACGGTGTGGTCTGCTGGGGCCACTCCTGAAGACCTTCCATGACTCTGTGGTGGCATCAGCCATCTTGTACGGTGTGGTCTGCTGGAACAGCAGCATCACAGAGAGGGACAGGAAGTAAGTAAGTTAGCTTTATTTATATACCGCCTTTCACAGACCAGAGTCACAAAGCGGTTTACAATTGTTATTTTTTTTGGGCACTTGTCCTCTCACTCCACACAGAGATGGGAGCGGGGTCGCCGAACAGGAGGCGCATACCAGACCTATTGTACATATTTTTAGTGGTAGGGGAAACCGGAGTACCCGGAGGAAACCTACGCAGACACGGGGAGAACATGCAAACTCCACTCAGAAAGGCCCTGGTCCGGCCGGGATTCGAACCCAGGACCTTCTTGCTGAGAGGCGAGAGTGCTATCCACTCAGCCACCATGCCGCCCAGGAAGAAGCTGGACAAGGTCATCAGGAAGTCCAGCTCAGTCCTGGGCTGTTCCCTGGACACAGTGCAGCAGGTGGGGGACAGGAGGGTCCTGAGCAAACTAACATCTATGCTGGACCATGACTGCCACCCCCTGCAGGACACTCTCTATGCTCTGGAGAGCAGCTTCAGTGACAGACTAATTCACCCTCGCTGTGTGAAGGAGAGGTTCCGTAGGTCTTTCCTTCCTGAGAACTGCTGAGCCTGTAAATTTCATTCATCTATAATTGAGTAAATTCTTAAAATCATGTGCAATGTGCAATACTGCAACTTCAGGATGTCACAGAACAATGTCACTTTACCTCATGTCACTTTACTTATATACTTTTTATCCTGCACTATTTAACTGTACAGTATATAACTGCACTACTACATATATATATTTTTTGACTGGTATTGAAGCATTTTCAGCATCTACAGCTAGTTATGTTAGCTAAGAAACATAGCTACTACTTATTTGTAAATAGTGTATATATTGTGTGTGGTCCCTGTGTGCTCTTACTACTGTCCTATATGTGCGATGCAACATCGAAATTTCCCCACTGTGGGACGAATAAAGGAATTCTTATCTTATCTTATGAACCCCACACAAGTGTTAACCACTGTGCCCCCGTAACAACTTTACTCCCCATAAAGATTGATGTTTTTGTATATGCAGTGTGATTTTGTAATCCTGACAACCCAATGTTGTATCAAAACAACATTTTGCATTTGCCACAGAAAACATGTGTCTTTAGCGTTTACTTGATAAACTGTCTTGTCGCTCTCAGCTCTTGTCACTATAAAACATACTACCAGTACATTTTTTATCTATATGCATTCTTTCTTTTTGTCTGTCTTATGTACTCTCAGATGTGCTGTTGTATCTGTTAATCCTTCCTGCAGGTCTTCAGAGATTATTCACTCCCCAGGGGTGCGTTTACAAACTTTTGCTGTTCTATCCTACATGGAGTAACGAGTTATATATTTTTTGTGCATCAGCAAGTATTGAATAAAAAGTTGTTCGGAATGTGTAATTTTTAATAACAAAGGATATTGTTCAGATAAAGTTTTGCTGCTGCATGTTATTCAGGGAGAATAATAATAATAATGTTCATGTAGTGGGTGCTTTTCAACGATAGCCACACGTGGATGTGTTTGAAGGTTGGATGTATAAAGGGCTAATAGCCACGGCAATACAGAGCGTAGAATGTTATCATCATGAACCAGCCTCCTGCCAGTGTCTACAGTCAGAACTAAACATGGGGAGGCAGCGTTTCAGATTTGTAATATAATGTCATTTTCTTCCCCTTTATTAATCCATTTCTGGGTTAAGCACCAGCCCCTCGCTGATCCTCCTGCAGGTGGTGGGTCCACAGGATGATGGCTTCTCCGTCATGGAAGATATGGCCTTGGTCTTTCAGTGGGTCTTCAGGCAATGTGGGGTTAAGTGTTGACAACGACAAAGATAGCAGACATCGGTGGGAGCAGGTGACATGGGCATGGTGAGATTGAACCCAAGACCATTCGGTCCAATTGGGTCCAAAGACCTGTGCTCTACCATATGAGCTACTGTCGCCCTGAAAATATGAGACCGTGGTCAACTCTGACAATGTTCAAATGAAGGTTAAAACCGGTTCTCTTTAGCTTTGCATAAAACTGAAGGATTGTATCAATCATACTTTTTAATGTGCTGTGATTATTGATGATTTTAATGCCCCGTGTTGCTTTTATCTTGTTTTTGCCCTTTAAGTTGCCTTGTGTATGAACTTTCCCATACAAAATAAACTTACCTTGACTATTATTTGGGCGGCATGGTGGCTGAGTGGATAGCCCTCTCGCCTCTCAGCAAGAAGGTCCTGGGTTCGAATCCCGGCCGGACCAGGGCCTTTCTGAGTGGAGTTTGCATGTTCTCCCCGTGTCTGCGTAGGTTTCCTCCGGGTACTCCGGTTTCCCCTACCACTAAAAATATGTACAATAGTTCTGGCATGCGCCAGAACTATTGTAGAATTCCAGTTTGACAACAATTGAAATGTGTAAGAGGCATTTCATGAACTCTATCCCCGCAAACTGTACAAATAACTTTTGTTTGTGTTTTTCCAAATTTTTCAAAGCCATAATACTCCACGCGTAAGCCTTGAAATGAGTTGAAGGTTACTCTAAACATCCCAAGCAGCAGGAGAAGCTTTTATCCTTATCGACAGAAGCAATTAGCCGTCTTAAAAGCAGGAAGAAAATACCAGTGTCACCCAGGTTCCTCCTTCATCACTGCCACAGCACTACAAAGGTCGCGTTTACAAAGACCCCACTGTCTCTGCTACCGGCGCGCACGCATTCATATGGAAATAAAGTGAAATCAATTATAATAACACACATGCGCCAGCGGACACGCGGCGTAAACAGCCAAGAATAGTTTTGTGTTTCGAATTGGATGCACACGCGACTTCACGCACTGCCTGCTTTGTATTACATATCTGAGACTGCAAAGCATTTCTTAAGATTGCAAGCTAATGTGAAATCAATGCATATGTTTGACCTGTTTGAATCAGCGTGAAAAGGCGATTAGCGCGCGGGCCGGGGCTTAATCATGTGCGTAATCAGAGGCGTATAAAAGCGGGTGACTTTTGGCCCTCGACTGTACCCTCGCTGCGGGGGAGAGGCTTTTGAGTAGTGGGAGCAGGGTGGATCGAAATAATAGGATGTGAAAAGTTTCTATTAAGGACTTTCATGATACAGGCAAGCAAATACATTATAGACTGTAGTGGAAGGAGCTAATGCGTAAGAACATGGAATCTGACATAATACCCATCGTATGTGGGCCTTGGTAACACAAAGCAGCCAGAAGTACTTTCAAAGCCACCAATATAGTCATGCTATACCTCATTGTAAAGCTAACAACCTTTGAAATGCAGTTAACTTTATTTGTAAATACTGAAATTACTTATATAGCGCTAGTATGAATCAACAAGGACACGGACATATGATGTTCAAAACGGGTTTAAACCTGTTTTAGTTGTGCTGTGCTGTGCTGAGGTGCTCAACTTTCAAAGATCCTCTTTAGGTCAGCTTTCACAAGAAGAAAAGGACCTTCACTCAATGTGAGCTCTCAGCCAAAAGTATCAAATAATATACATAAAATAAATAGATAAAATATTGTTATGGCCTATAAATATCTTTCAGGTTTGGTACCCCTACTTTACATATATATATATATATATATATATATATATATATATATATATATATATATATATATATATAATATATATATATATATATATATATACATATACATACATATACACACATATATACATATATACATATAAATATACACATATATATATATATATATATATATATATATATATATATATATATATATATATATATATACTGATAGTGATCTCACATAAGGTGATGTAAAAAGAGGTGGCAATGTGGATTGAACTGACATTTACTCAGCCTATATTGAATATATTTGTATATGTGAGAATAAATTGTTACTGCAGAGAATTGGCAGAGAGAATGGAACATTGGGACATGAGAGTTGGCCTACATCCCCCTATTGGCGCCATATCTGTTAAACGGTGCATTATTTGCCAAGGCCAAAGTGTTAGGTAAACTAACAAAAGCACCATACCTCTCCCAAAAGAGGAGTTTTCCCATCGGCTTCAAAGACCCAGGCGTTTTTGGCTGTTCCACGGTCGTACGATTCATATGGCGTGTTTCCGACCCTCTTGCTGGTTGCTACGGCTGGATCCTTAAATGAAAAAGATTTCAGGATGAACAGATGGAGATGCAAAACAAGCAAATACAGCTTTGAATACATAATAGGGAAGTGAAAGTGACTCAGCAAAGGTGGAGCATTGGGAACCGACAGCGCTGAATGAAAAGAATGAGTACACAAATTGAAAGTCTTAGAAACAAAAACACACCAAAAACAGTTCTGATTCTGAAGTTAAAGGAGACATTATCGACTATGAGGCAACATTAAATGTTTCTTCAAAGGAACAGTCTGTAATATGCCCTCTTTGTTGTGTGCTAGGGGCCTCCGTCAGGAGCAGTGGCCACTGTAGTGGAACGCCCAGGGAGTAGCTCCAGATGTTGATGAGTGACTTGGTCAGAACCAGACCAAGAGAATTATTACCCACTGTGCATGTAGTTCCTAAGCACTTGTTACTGATGCAATCTACCTGCTGGGGGTTAGCTAGGAAAGGTACAAACTGTGTAATATGTGCAACTACTTATTTTGAACCTGCTTTCATTTAAACTGAAATGTGTAATTGTTGTTACAAAAAGACAAAGCCAAAACCTGCTACATTTCACCTAACTGACAACCCATATGAGAGCCTCCTTCTGCTCTCTGATCTGAATCATCATGCTCATTATTTTCTTTTTGATTAAAAATAACTCAAATTACATTATTTGTTCAGAAAAGGCAACATATGAGTTGAACATGTAACCTGTTAGCATATAAAAGATTTTAAGAATTTATAGGTTCCATATTTCGCTGTTCTTCATTTTTTAACAGTCCATCCTAAGCACGTGTGAAAATAATTTGGGTGATACACCATACACCCTATATATACAACACTATACAACACTCAAAACTTTCGTACCCCCCACGATGATGTAGCCTCTTGCTAAGTTCGAGGTAAACAAATTAGTGTCATTCTCCATCTTCGGCCCAAATACTGTCGTCACATATTTACACCAAAAAAATTTGAAATGAAGCTAACACAAAAAAGCACAGACGTGTTTTTATTCTCTATGGACTACACGCTGGGCTCGCAGAGAGGCTGCATGCGCTGATCATAGGCGGCGCTGATTCGCTGGCTCAGTTTCTCCCTGCTGTCAATCACCTTTTGGAGACGGCTTTTAAACGTCACAGATTGGTGCACGTCACAATTTGAAATGCCTTGTTTCTGTGCCTCTCAAAAATTAATCATGTTTAAACCAGAGAAAAGTCGGAAAACGTAATATGGCACCTTTAAAATTAATTGTTTTTAGAGCCATGCAGGCTCCTGTCTCAGTCTTCTTTCCTGTCTTTCAAAAGTCTTGCCCATACATTAGTATTGGTAGTTTCTCGCACGGCTGTGTTTACTAAGACAGTCATTTTGATATTTGGAAAAATGCAAAGCACATTCATCCAGGGATATACTTGTTTCACATATATTTTCTACTGAAGATATTATTTGATATTCTAAAACATGCAGTATTTAATAAAAACATATTATATCATATTATAATGTATTTGGACATTATGTGCCAATTTGGTTTTGATAGCTCATGGGCGCATTTTGGACTGGAGAGGGAAATGACCCCCTATCCCTCTGTTTTGTGGATATTAGCTATGTTTTCATTCATTGGCTTGTTTTCTCTGAATTAGGGTCTTTTAGACATTTTATCATCAGCTGGCCAACAATTGTTTGGCTTTCAACTGTTGGTTAAGTCTGTAAACAACGCGAGGCAACTGCTGTTTCGGTTTGATTCAAAGTTAATCAAAATAAGCAAATAATATTTTTTTTCTTCTAGTCCTGAATTTATTAAAATCAAAAGCATGGCAGGGGATGCTTAGCTATGTGGGAAGTATTAACCAGAATGAACTCTCAGTATTTTATTATAACAAAAATGATGCCACAAGATTGATTCAAGCTGTGTGTCTTGGTTAAAGCTGGGGTTACTAGAAAAAAAATAACTTATTAGAAAACATGTAATCTTTTTGCAAAGAGTCCAAGCTGGAAGTCACTATTTGATGTCTTGGGCTGAGCAAGCTGGTCCTCTCTGTATCATCTTCTGTCTGAAACATCTGATCTAAAGATGGGTTAGGCCAAAAATATGTGAAAACTAATGATAACCAAATTATCTTGAGCGAGGAACTAGTTTGATGGTTTTTATGAGTTAAGTTAAAATTCACTTATAAAATATTGTTCAAAGGGAGCTCTGTCAGGAGCAGTGGCCTCTGTATTGGAATGCCCTGGGAATTGTTCCAGATGTTAATTCTTGACTTGGTCAGAACCAGACCTAGCGGATTATTACCTACTGCATGTCTGTAATGGTTGGGGGAAAGCTTTGCAGGCACAGGGAGAACATGCAAACTCCACTCAGATAGCCACTGTTCTGACCTGGATACCAACACAGGACTTCCTTGCTGAAAGTGGTCTGAAAGTTTGGTACCCCAGCTTCTATATAGCCACTGCATTGCAGTTGATTGCTTACTTTCAGGAAAACAATATATGTCTATTTAACTATTTAAAGTCTAAAAAAATGCAGTTTAAGGGCTAAAGTCCAAGTTTACAGCGCACTACAGCTTACATTTCAGTTATTAGACCATCTTTCAGACTTTTTTCACTGAAAACTTGGTCCTGATAATGACTTTTAAACCCTTTCTTTAGTATGGATCACTCCTGGACTAAAATGATATATCTCCATCCATGGAAAGCCTCGCCATGTGGCCTGTTAAGCACCATGTGACTGGCCAACAATGAGCATTTCTCGTAAACGCAAAGTGGGCCAACATCTGCTTGACAAATCTTGTGGCATAAATGTTTATCAGCGTGTAAAATCCCATCTCACCAGGATGAGGATGTATCGCTGTCCTTTCTCATGGAGGTAGTCGTAGAACTGGGGAAGGTCAGCAAACTTCACTTTATCATACGTGAAGTCCTTCTTGTCTTCCATGTAGTCGATGTCGGTGTACTGGATGTCCTGCGCGATACACACATGTGAGCTATGAATATCAAATGACATAGTTCACTTCACCGCTTTAAATCAGACAGATTGGAAGTTATTAGATATTCAGAGTCTGATGGGGAATTTGAATTGGCCGGCATGAACCACTTGTGGAAGAAAAATTGCATTTGCATCGAGCAGAGGTTTATGAAATTCAGAGCAAGTGGGGTTCAGTCTTCAAGCCGTAAAGGAGAAACTGGGACATGAGATCCTTTTTTACAAAAGTAAAATAAGTGAAAACCAAGTAGGCATTAACATAGATTTGCTGTATTTAACATTTCTCAATATGTATGACGTTTAAAAATGAGCTACAAGTAGGAAGGGTGAAATGCTACAGGTCATTTATCCATTTGCTCAAGCATGGGTGAAATAATAATAATAATAATACATCATACTTTGGATACTCAAATATGCTTTACAAAAGACAGGTTAACAAGAAAGAAAAACACTAATAATAAATGATAACCACATGAATATATAATGACTGTTTTTATCATATTTTGACTTATTTAATAACCATTTCTCTATTAATCAATCAATCAATCAAAGTTTATTTGTAGAGCGCCTTTCATGCACAGGGCAACACAAAGCGCTTCACAGTCCACATCACAAATCATCACATAAAACAAACACCAGAATCACAATTAAAACATTAAAATCACACAAAAGATTAAAACACAATAAAAACAATAAAATCACACAAAAGAATAAAACCATTAACACTTTCAAAGTTACACAAGAAATTTAAAAAAATAAATAAATAAATGACAGCAGTGCATTACAAATGGAGATAAAATCCTTCAGTTGTATGCACAGGCAAACAGAACAGTCTTTAACCTGGATTTGAACATTGACAGAGTAGACGCCTCCCTCACATTTTCAGGGAGATTGTTCCAGATCTTAGCTGCATAGATCTGAAACGCAGCCTCCCCATGTTTGGTTCTCACTCTGGGCACCAGCAGGAGGCCAGTCCCTGTGCTCCTCAGAGTCCGGGCTGGTTCATATGACACCAACATGTCACTAATGTATTCTGGTGCAAGGCCATGGAGAGACTTGTACACAAGCAGAGCTGTTTTAAAATCTATTCTTTGAGCCACAGGAAGCCAGTGCAGAGACCTGAGGACCGGACTAATGAATAATGAATAATTCTAAATTAAATTTAATTAAGAATGTAGTTTTTTTGGTAATATGGAGCAGAGTGAGTCTTACTTAACTGTATTGTATCAATTAGCATATTTATTTGTATAACATTTTCACCTGTATCAAGATGCCAAAAGTATCGACATACCCTGACAACACAACCCTAACCCTGACAGATACCAGCCTTAATTGGTGAGCAATAATGAAGTATTTGTTGAAACTTTCAATTTCTGTAGTTCCATTGTGTGTTCATTTATAAGTGAAATCATTTTTTACATGGATGTTCTCAAAACTATTCTAACTATATTCATAATCAATACAATCAAAGTTTGTGTTTTTTCTAATATAAATCTTGTGTTTATGCTATCTGCAGCCTGATAGCATGGCACATTACCATACCTAATAGTAACACAGGCGGATGAAGAGCAAAAAGTTTTTAATTGCTAGTTTGTCTTGTTGACCTGTCTTTGCCGGACAGCCTGCGCCGCATTCAAACAGCTGCGCTAATACGTCGGTAAACCTTTGGAGGACAATGGTTATGTTTCCACACAGTTTTGATTTGATTTTGCCTTTTCTCGCCGTGCAGTGGCACCGGTGCATTCTGCCAGAACCTCATGTGGATGGAGCAGATGGTCATGGAGCCTGTGCCAGATCTTGGCTGTAATGGTAATCAGCTCCAGACGTATTAGGAGAATGTGATAATGCCCTTTGTGGTCTATCTAATGGTTATCAAATATGTCCCTGAGTACACGCGCAAGAGGCAGCTGCATGCTAATGTCTGTAAGTATGAGACAGAGATTAGAGATTAGCCCTGTGAAATATTTAGATTGGGTTGAGTCCTAATACTTCAGGAACTAACACAGAGCACTGCATGCAGCTAAAAAGACCTCATGATGTCCAGTTCTTCCCTTTGGTTCCTAAAGGGTACATAACTCAATTCTATTAATTTTAATATGATAATCTATGACCTCCATGGTCTTAATTAAAAATATGATTAACATGAAATGTTGAAATTAATCTAAAACAATTTTTTATGTTTTCCTTTGCACAAAAATGGCCATGCAAAACGTGTGACTCCTCTACATATCGCAGGTTCAGAATGTCTAATTTACAAAGACAGAGGGGAAATCAATTCCCTGCTCTGCGACCACTATGAGAGCAGTGATCTCAGAGCGGCTTCACTGCACCCCACTGTCTGAAGACCCTGGCTACATAAGAATTCTAAAAACACATCATCCACTTTGTCCTTTATGGAAAAATAAATGTGGCACTTTTGTCTTTGCTCCCATTGTTCATGGGTTCAACTTTAAAATCGAATACCCTATATAAGGCTTAATAGGCTCATCTCTGTCAAATACTGTTCACAAATTTGTCAGAATTTGTTTCAGTGAGCACTTCTCCTTTGCTGACACAATCCATCCCACCTCACAAGTGTGACATATCAAGATGCTAATTAGACAGCAGGATGTCTGTTTCTGAAAGGCTCTGTCACCGTAAATGAGTTATTGTTTATGAATGAAAGGCTCAAGTATAAACTGGGCGAGTCCCTTCATAAAGCAGCTATCATGTGGGCAGCTTGTGAATGAAGGACCTACATTCAAACTGTGCTCTAATCCACAAACTTGACGTGTGCTAAGAAAATGTTTCTCCTTTGACTATAATCCTTCATTATAGATAAGAGATTGACTTTATTATCTCACAATGGAGAAATTCAGTTCGATGAATAATCGAAATGATAGATGGATTTGTCCAATCAATTATGAAAGATGAGGACATAGAAGATCAAACAAGCTGAAATACCTGGATATAGTTTAGTTTCTGCCTTCATTAAAGGTTGTTATTTGTGTCCACTAAAATACAGAGGTGACGTACCGAGCAGTTCACACTTTTGACATAATAAACATTCCCTTTTCTCCCATTAATTTGTTGTTGTATTGTTTTCCCAAAACTGCAAATATTATGATGACAAAGCGTATCCCAAAGGCAATTATTATTGTTCATCAGTTATGATGTAACTAATTAAAGTGGGCCATTTGCTTAAATGCTTTGTCATTATTATCAAAATGCAATTAAAATTTAATTTTTTTTAAGGTTTTGAATTCTAACATGAATGTTGTATGGATAAGGTATCTACAAAAAAAGAGTAAGGTATTTTGTAATGGCAAGCTAATTATTTAAGTTTTTATCTATCTATGCACCCATTTTTGCAACATGACACAGATTTGAAAGTATCAACTCAAACTTTGCAGCACGAAAGCAGAGCCCCCAATATCTGAAATATCTCTGTGTGAAAAGTTAATGCTCCGGGCCGTGCACCCAAGATAAGCCTGGAGCTCATTTCCACGAAAATGTCAAGCAGAACTGCGTTTTATCTGGATTTACAGGTGACAAGGAAGACTTTTTGACTGAGGTAATGAAAGCTACTCATTCAATTGTGTAAAGTACACAGAACAACTCCCATTTTTTCAGGAGTTCCTTAAACCTATGGATATATACGTTGATAATATAGATATGTATAACTTTTAAAAAATATATTAAAGCAGCAGTAAGCGATTTTTGGGTGTTAATATACGTCTTAAATATTGATATATTCCAATAGCCATCACTTATATAGAGTGTTTGTACCTAAACACGGATCTCTCAGTCCTTCCAGTCTTCTCCCACCCATATAATAAAAAAACCTCACATCCTATGCGCTTATCCAATGACGAGAGAGCACGCCTTATAAGGGGTTTCTCCCGTGTGTGCACGCGCACTCTTCAAAACAAACATGGCGGAGAAGGAAAAGCCGCCTCCAGCGCTGCTGCAGACTAAATACATGGATGGATTTATTAAATACAGGCAAAACGCCAGAAACAGAGGAACGACAAAAAGTAGGAGCAACATGGTGACCAGCTGCATTCATGTTGGCGACCTCTAGCTCCGTGGATTCCTCTCTCCGACTGAACAGGTGAGCATGTTACTCAGTAGTGGCAGTAGTAGTTGTTTTATTTATACATATTGTTGCCTGAGACTGTAATGCGGGTTTTCACCAAGTTAGCTAGTTAAAAATCCCTAGCTGTTGTAGAAATACGGCCGCATTTTGTGGCAATAACTGCGCATTACCTTGGCTTATCTTTGAGAAACAACAACAGACAACACAACATCGAAGCCTTAGCCCAGCCTCAGCCATCCATAAACTCCGGTCAATTATTAGTTCCCCACATGTACAACATTAAATGACCATATCACCAGAGTTCCCCCGTGAAGTGGTGTTAGCATTAGCGTTTGCTGTTAGCATTAGCGTTCGCTGTTAGCATTAGCGTTCGCTGTTAGCATTAGCGTTCGCTGTTAGCATTAGCGTTCGCTGTTAGCATTAGCGTTCGCTGTTAGCATTAGCGTTAGCTGTTAGCATTAGCTGTCTGTAGTTGTGAATATGATGTGGCTGCTACGAACACTTCTGATCTGTATGAATCGTTTGTTTTTGCCAATAAACATAGTTGCTTGCACTATATATATATGTAGGTCTGCATTTCATTCTTCAATGACTAAGTTTTGCAACTTGCACTCTGTATATTAGTTTTATTGTTATAAAAACAATATCTCTTTACCTCAAATCTAACTTCCGTGACCACTACATACATTTTTATTATTATGTATTGAGAATAAGTAAGAAAAGTCTTGCTGACTACTACCATAAATTATGAGGATGATATAATATAGACATTGTAATAATTTACATGTCTTCATTGCATTCTTTTCTCTGTATCTTTTCCAGTATGGCCTAAATCAATTGGAATGAGGTCTTCAATGTACAAGAGTTCAAAAGCCTCCATAATGCAAGTTAAATAACTATTTTAAAAAAAACAATGCCATAACGACTAGATACTTTTCTGCTGACCTCTTCTTTCTCTAGTATTGACTGGGAAGACAAGACTTTGCTTCCAGAATTAGAAGAATGGCCATTGTCATCTCCTGAGGAAGACTTTACACCCCACATTTGTCATGTAGGTTGTTGTGAATGCATATATGGGACGCAGTGATTATGATAATGATGTTGTGATGTGTGTGTCGTTCATCCCTACAGTTGTGTTGCTGCCCTGAGGTCCAAAATGAATATCGATCATGTTCCAGGAGTCAGTGTTGACAAAACTGTCGCTGAGTTTCTTCAACAATCAAGAGGAGTGAGATAATCACTCGACTCCCAAAACAGCCGATGTAAGTGTCTTTCTCTCACAATGCACAGTCTCTCACAGTCCAAATAAACATGTTCAAGGATCCTGTGGATCAGGGGCCACTCCTGGTGATCAATAAATACTGATGTTGTTGATGATGAATATATCAAAGTCATATTTGAGTAGATAAAACTGATGTCTCTTCTATTATGTTTCAAAGGAAAATCTCTGCCAGAGGAAGACTCCAGTTCCTTCAACCTGGGCCCCTGAAGCGTGGCTGTCTGTGCGTGTGACTGTGTGTGCGTGTGGCTGTGTGTGCTTGTGGCTGTGTGTGCTTGTGGCTGTGTGTGCTTGTGGCTGTGTGTGCTTGTGGCTGTGTGTGACTGTGTGTGACTGTGTGTGCTTGTGACTGTGTGTGCTTGTGACTGTGTGTGCTTGTGGCTGTGTGTGCTTGTGGCTGTGTGTGCTTGTGGCTGTGTGTGCTTGTGGCTGTGTGTGACTGTGTGTGACTGTGTGTGACTGTGTGTGACTGTGTGTGCTTGTGACTGTGTGTGCTTGTGACTGTGTGTGCTTGTGACTGTGTGTGCTTGTGGCTGTGTGTGCGTGGCTGCTTATGAATTATTTTGAGGAAATGTGTTCAAACAAGCTACAACATAAAGATTAACATTTTGTTAGATATCTCTGATAGTGTTCGCTGCAGCAGCGATGGATAAGGACCTGGATAATAACAGTGTTATTCATTTGAGCAAAAAGTGATAACACAAACGTTGCCTTACCATCACTTGTAATTATTTGTCTTAGTAGGGACATTGTGTATATTTTTCTGGCTATAACTTCAAATCTTCTTTTACATAATAAAGTTTGTTAGACTCGTTACAGACTGTATTTGTTTTCCTACTATAAAACAAAGCACATTGAAAGAGGTGAATGTATTTTTTTTTATTTTGAAATAGTACAACTACAAACATATTTCAGAACTGCAGAGTGGACGTGCACCATGGGGGCCGCTGAGGAAAGCACGTTTTCAATGTCTGTTGGCACCTTTCACAGACGCATCAGGGAAAGGATCTGGTCATCAGCTTCTCTGGACAGAGGGCGTTCAGTGCTTCCTGAAAGAACCGTTATGACAAATGACTTTATATATTCTGTTACTTGTAGCTTTTCTTTCAAAGTGGTGAGTTTCCTTACAGTGTAACAGTGTAACGTAATTAGTTATGACAGTACTTTTGCGTTTCGGACAAGCTTTACTGGAATTGTTTTTCAGTCCCACATCTCACTGTACAGCTCTGATACACTTTGATTTTGTCTTCATTCTCTGAACAATAAGCACATAATACAGATGTTGATTACGTCAATAAATTTATATTTATTTTGTGACATTGAGAAGGCAGCTTCCAGTGAGATGCAGCTTTACTTTCACATAATACATTACTACAGTGTTGTCTATAAAGAACTCCAAATATACAAATTGTGAGGAAAGCAGTAATGTATTACTTTAAATAACCTTCATGTAAAGCTCTGTTGTTGTAATGTATATGCATTACATTCATCTAATACATATGCACTGTAACAGATGTTACAGTGCATAATGTTGAGACACGTCACACTGCAATCTGCAACATTATGTTTATCACAACAGTTATCAGTGTACCAACTATAAAAGCAGTATTATTCTATAAAAGACTGGATTGTTTTTATCTCTTTCTTAGTGATGCTATCCTAGCTAACACCAAGCTGCTTCCAGTGTTATAGCTAGGTTACAACTGAGCTATTCTATGCTAATATATCACTCCCAGAGTTTGTTGTTAATATACTTACGAGTAGACCTGACGGAGATGAACATGCTGCTGCCATCACCAAGAAGACGATGCGCGTTCATGTGGTGTGACGAGGAGACGGGGGCGGGGCTACTAACTCGCTCAGGCAGAAGAAACTGCCGGAAACGACCAAATCGCTTACTGCTGCTTTAATATATAGATATGTAAGGGATAATGTATAGCAGGCAAGTCATTATTGGAAAATAAGTACCAACAGGGCAAAGCGGACCCCCCCTGCAAAGCTACTTCAAAACTAGAACTCTCTCGAACTACATGAAAACTGAACAAAGAATTCTGAACATCAGTGGTGAGTGACCCATAAAATATTCATAATCAGATCCTCTGCAAATGCGCTCTAAAATGTTCTATTAAAGTTAATACTTCCGGGTTTACCTCAATCGCCTTTTGTCGCATTAGAACAGTATTTTTGTCATGAAAATGAAGCAGATATTTCTGAAACCTGCATGTGTTTTAAGAATGTATAAGTATAATGTATTCTCCGATAAACATTTAAATGTGTAGATTGGTCGTTATTTGTGTTGTTATTTATATATATGTTGCAGCATTATTCGTTTTCCCATACTGTGACAATATTGGGCAGAGAGCAGGATTAGCAGGTAGAAGCAAAAGGCCACCCGTATTTTTCTGACTGACTGTCCAGCTCCACACGCTCAGCCTTCATATCACGTCTGGGCAGATAGTGTGGTTAAGGCCAGTGCAGTCAGTCACAGCAGTGCATGAGTGCTTTTAGATTTAACAGGGGCTGCGTGAGGTGAAGCATTGATCGACCCTGCTGCCCCCAGCCTCACCCTGACTCATACACTATACAGCTCCCAAACCCCAGCGGGTATATGGTGTGTGTGATCGCTCAATATGTTGTGAACGGATGGACCCCACACTGATATACAGAGCAGTGCTATGTCTAGTAATGAAAAGAACCAAATCAAATATGTGCGGTTGGTGAGAATCAAGGACAAGTGAATAGATGACGATTCCAACAAGCATTCTGAATGTTCGGTTAGGGCTGGGCGATATAAACGGTATAAGCAGTAAGCGATGAAAATTTGGCCAACAACAGAGATTTTTGTGATACCGGCATATTGCGAAAGGTCATTATGTCAGCAAATTGCAACACGCTTGGCCTACTGGGACCGCAACAGCCACAAGGAGTGTGGTTGCTGGATTCGTCCCCGAAACCGGATTCGGACAGAAGTTCAGTTTGCGCATGTCAAAAAGTATAAATAAACATGTAAACAGTTTGTGTTGTTCTATAAAGATTATATTATTGATTTGTGCTCATATATATTAAGATTTATTACGGGAAATGGCGGAAAAAAATCTCAGATTAGTAGCCGCGCAGCAAGCGCCCATATGCGTTCAAAGGCACACGGAAAAGAGGCAAACACATAGACAGTTTAATTCTTGATTAGATTCACTGTCCTTTACTTGTTTAACTAATAAATAAATGTGTTCAACTAGACTTGACTATGTATGTATGTACGATAACGGGATAAATGATTACGATTGTTTATTGCAACAATGGAACTTAGCTCTCTAGGTCACACACTAAATGTCAAGGAAATGCTAAAAGTATCAAATAAATAAACATTATCAAGCTATAAGTAACAATCTTGACTATTTTATGCAAGAACCTGCTAGACCTATAATTCACACACCAAATTATACTGCAATATTTACCGTTTACCGTCTGTGTCCCAAATTATACCGCAATATGAATTTTAGGCCATATTGCCCACCCCTATGATCTTATCGTGAGCGGGTTATAGGTATTATACTTTTAAACACTCAGTGAAAACTTGGGAATTTGGATTCAAAGGAATTCAATCAAGTTCAATTATATGGATTTAAATTTAAAATATACATATTGATAAAGCTTATACAACGTAAAATTTGTGTTTAGTTAAATCATTTGTTTAATTCAATGTTAAAACATCTGTCAAGACTCTCACGTCCCCAAGTCTGCCCCAGCTTTAAAGTGAAGGTCAGTTATGTCTTTTAAATGCATGTATATATATGCCAGTAACTTCAATTGTAATATATAGTGTATGAATCGCATGTTGACCATGAGCTTGTGTCTCTCTAAAAATACAGTGTCATATAAGGCTCAGCTCTTACATATGGAATCTGCACAGCACGATTCCTCTCCACGGTGGCTTTTACTTCACTCAGGCTGCCATAGTCCCAGCGTGAGAGCTGGAAGCCCAAGGACCAGTAGGCGGGAATGACAGGCCTGCCAATGAGCTGGACAACATAATTACACATATGGTTAACGCAATGGCACTGGCAATGACACACAAACGATATGCTTCTATTCAACAGCAATTTGAAACAGGCTCACTTCAAGGAACTCCTGCACCACTTGTTCTGGGGTATCTCCGAAGAGGATGTAGAAATCCAGCACTCCTCCAATGGTCCTGTAGGTCACCGCTGGGGCAGGCTGCAAAGTGACCTCTGGAAGCAAAGTTGTGTTTAGTTTATTTTGTTACTCAACAACAACTAACATTACACACACACATCAATAATTTCACATATTAAAATGTCTCTACTATTGATCACACTCGTATTTTACCTAACCCCTTATTCTTTTCTTCTTTTGACTTGTTTGCACCAAGAGCCAAAGCAATTTCCTAGTCTGTGACTTCCTGTTCCTCACACGGCAATACAATTATTCTGATAGTGATTATAAGCCGCACCTGTCCCAGGTTGTAGTACTGAAAAAGGTACCTCAAAACTTGAGACGTGAGTCACTGACTATTCTTTATCTTCCAGTGTCAAGAAGAAAGATAAGGAGCAACTAGGGATGTAAAAAACTATGAATTTGATATGAAACCGGTTAACCGCGTAGTTTAAAATAGTCCACGTTCTTTGAAATAACAGCCATTTTGAGCCGCGTACTTCTCATAAGTGCAGCTCTGCGTTCTAAAAAACCTGCAACAGCTTCGGCACCTTTGCGCACAGAGAACTGCTGTTTTAATCTTCCCATTCTTCTGTGCTGCAGGTTAAAGTATTTTTAAGCAAAAGACGGCTCGTTCACATGGTCAGAGCAGCGAGTGACGAGCCGCGTCTCACAGGTCTCCGCTAAAGTTTAAAAGTGATGTGTGTGGAGCTGATGCCAAGGACCATAAACACAAACATGTTTCATGGGGTTTGACTGGAGCCGTGTATTTGCTAGGATTCTTTGGACTGCGTAACACAGAGGAGCGCGACAGACCGGTATGTGTGTGTGTACATGTATGTATGTGTATGTGTGTGTACAATGCATGTATGTGTGTATGTGTGTGTAAATATAAGCTCCAATGTAGTTCTAACCCGCACCAGTGTGCAACTAGCAGGCGGTAACAGAGGGGAGCGATGATGCGTGTGGATGTTACGTATCGAAAGTGTGTGTGTGCTAGTGTGTCTGTGCGCGCGTGCATGTGTGCGTGCATATATGGCGCGTGCGCCGTGAGAGTCGGCCCGGAGTTTACTGATGCATGGCGTACACAGCTAGAGACAGACCCGCTCGTCACACCGTGCAAATAGGGCTTAAAATAGCGTTATTAAGAGACCTCCCCTCTCCCCTTTTTCTCTTTTTTAACCGAAAGCTTTGACCGTTTAACGCTGTGACGGTCAACCACCGGTTAAACGGTCACCGATTTACATCCCTAGGAGCAACCATTACTCTGTTCAATTTCATGCATATACAGAAATCACAAAAACAATTTATTATATCCAATATTTACACAATGATATTATAAGTTAGGACTTGCCAACTGTATATAATCTGCTCGGTAACAAAGAAATACATATTACAAATGCTTATTTTCTCACTGTGCCTGCAAATTTGCCGCACGTTTGTATTGTGTAATGCACAAAGTATCAATGTGTGATAATTATCATTATTATAATATTTTACATGTTGACGAGGGGGGGGGGAGTATATCATTCAATTTAATTGGGCCTCCGTGATCTCATCAATTCTGAATGGGGGGGAATAGACCAATATTTTTTTAATTGTCACCAATCAACAATTTCTTCCTTTAAAACCCCTAAACTACTGCTTTGAATTACTATATTAAATAAATATTGATATAAATATTTAGGCTTGTGCAAATTTCTAAACAAAAGGCCAAGACCTAAATATAATACTTCCCAAAATAAACAATTTCTAAGAAAACATGCTTACACTATTCACTATACTTTCATCTTATTTCTTCCCCTTAAGCCGCTGTCAGTATCAGTATTTCTGCAAGATTTCTCTGGCAACATTCGGAGTCCCCAGACCTGCTTCGAAGCCAAACCACATCAAATGAAAACAATCAAAATCCCACCCATCTTTATAACCCAGAACCATGAACTCAAAAGTGTTTTATAAGCACTTGTGGACTGGACAATATGTGTACTAAGTTGATAAAATAAAGTGTAAATTTGCTTTGTAAGATGGGCGTCCTCATGTGAAAGCAGCGTGTCAGCACACATTCCCAGCGCTCTCACTCATCCTCCGCTGGGTAAAACAGCCATGCAATATTCCCTTTGATTTGTCAGCACAGTTTTGATTGAGGCAAAAGTAGATCAATTTTTGCTTCAGAGATGGAAAGTATCTAATGTTCTGTCTGTCCTTGAACCCTTTGTAGCACATGAAAGGCTTGCATTATGCTTAACTTACTCAACTTTAGCGCTTCACCATGATGCCTGTATTTTTTTCCTTTGTTACTTGTCTGCCCGCCTATTCAGGCCAACTCATTCTGCTGGAATCTGAATGAACTAATGCAATGAAGTGGTCATTTTTTTCTCTTGCAATATCTCTCCTGAGTTAAAGGCTACTCAATTAGTAATCGATTAAAATATATATATATTGCGGCAGAATGAAAATAATGTGTAAGCCATATTTGACGATGTTCTCCAAGGAGCTTTGTTTTGTTAAAATGCAGCTAAAACCCCATATGCCGTAATCTTTCAGGATATTGATATTGAAGCATTTAGAGACAGCTAAGAAGCAAATAGCAGCTACTTATATTGTATATTTTGTGTGCTCCCTGTGTGCTCTTACTACTGTCAATGTATGTCTGCTGTAATTACCCTACAGTGGGACGAGAAAAAAGGTTGTGGTTTTTGTATTATCATTATACCAGTGCAGAGCGAGGATGCACCTTCCGAATAAAAAGGCCTGCGTTCTCGTAAGCACTCCAGAGAATAACAAACATGTGCATACTCCTGGCTGAAAGCATCTTCTTGTACAGATAAGCAGATGATACATCCAGACATAAATGTATTTAAGAAACTTAATGTTAATGTTTCTCTCTCCACCTCTTGTGAGTGCTGCGCTTGCATTCATATTTCACTGTAAGATTATGAAATATGATCTTTGAAGTGCCTGTGTCACCATGCCAGCAGCACTTGTGTAAAAAGCTATTTTTCATCATGCTCACTATCAATGCTATATACCTACCCATGGCATTGCTGTTTAAGAGGAAGACCCCGAATGACTTCCCGCTCTCATCTTCCAGACAAAGGAAGAAGGGATAATGGCCATAGAGGTTGTGTGTTCCCTGTAGCAGAAAGGAGATTCAGTTATGAGAGGATGGGAGGAGGAGAGGTTGAGAAGGAGAAGTATACGAGGGTGAGAATGAGGCTGAGTTTACACGGAGACAATGTGGCAGTAAAACGGTATAGTTGGATGTCGGTTGCTACCAACCGTTCATACGAAGACTGTGTTCCAGGGGGGTGAAAACGTAAGTGTTCAGATCCAGCCTGCAGAGTGGGACAACTCAGATACGCTGCACAGCAGGGAGCTTTTTCACACCCGCGAGAGGGAAATAGGTGTGAAATCCCCCTCTGCTCTGACCCCCGCCTCCCTGCTGCTCCCGCACGTAAATTTGGACATGCGCAGTAGCGGAGAACAAACATCAACAACAATGGCGCCGCCCACACAAACTAGCTACGTGGGCTTCCAGCGCGGGACAGAGGATAATTCTACTCCTTCGTTCGTCCAAACGAGACCACGCGAAGCTCTAGGTTCAGTTCCCATTTTCACAGCTGCTGTTAAAATGCAGAATGATGTTGGTGCATTCTGAGGGTCTGGCACAGGAAGTGAGTATACTGCCGAGAGGGGGGCTGGGCACGGGGCTCGGGGTCGTGTGTCGTGTTGTAAAGTTTCTCTGCCCACTACTGGCCGGGCGCTAGAACTACATCGTTTTTCAACCTCATGTGAACGCTGAGAAATTTGCATTAGGAGCCTGGTCGTTTCTGTTAATAGCCTGGAAACGTCTGCGCAGCGTCTCAGTATAAACAGGGCCTGAATGGAGCAGAGCATGAGTCGGAGAGTGGGTGAGACAGAGGATGAGGGAATGAGGGTAAGATGTGCAGGTCAAATGGGAGGGACTGGAGAGGGAGTAGGTTTCAGGGATGATAGTTAACATACATGTAAAGGGAATTGTTGTTAACTCTGGGAAAATAGTGACAGTTTTCCAACATATTCATCCTGTCCAGACAAACCGAGCACAAAGCAGGCCATCCACCAGAAGAGTTGAGGAATGCACAAAAACTGTAATGTTGCTTGTCTGTATTGTGTTATCCGACCTGTGTCAAGAGTCAACTCAAAGGTACACTGTATAATTTTTACTCCCATTTTGTATATATACATATATTGTAATTTATGGTAATACGTTAACTTCGTCTTTGACAGTGGTCCCCAACTCCTGCTCAAACTCCTTTTTGTCCCTTATCAACCACTGCATTTCAAGATGGCGCATTGACATGTTGAGTTCTCCAGTCTCATGTACATTGCAAGTCAATTTCTCAGTCTATGAAAACAATTCAAAAACATGGTGGAGGTAAATATTCTTAAAAAGGTCACATTTGTTATTGGTTAACATGTTTTTTTCATTTGGAGTAACTGTAAATAGTACCTTTAAGGAACACTTGTCCAGAGAGTCTTTCTAGTCAAATCTTACACATATTTACTGTGCTACACCTTCTTCCTGTATATCTCCAAGGTAATTAAAGGTCTGTTAAATGTTTGTATTGTAATATTTGAGTGGCTGCATAGACTATGCAGCCACTATATGCTCTCCTACTGTTTATTGAGTGGCTGCATAGACTATGCAGCCACTATATGCTCTCCTACTGTTTATTGAGTGGCTGCATAGACTATGCAGCCACTATATGCTCTCCTACTGTTTATTGAGTGGCTGCATAGACTATGCAGCCACTATATGCTCTCCTACTGTTTATTCTTCTTCTTCTTCTTCTTCTTCTTCCACTTCCGCCAGATTTTGGCACTTTTCAACTCTTCAACGCTTTCACCAAATTCAACAAATTATACATCGTTACGACCGGCTTCACCGTCTCATTATTGCTATTACTTTTCACACTTCCACCTTTAGCACTTTTTCAGATATTAACAAAAGTTCAAGCACTTTTTCCCATAGACTTACATTGGACCAGTACAACAGATTACTCCCCATACAACACATTACCACACTAACAATTCATTACCACAGATACAATACATTACAGCATCTTACAACACTTACAGCACCTTACAACACATTTAGCACCTTACAACAAATTCAACACCTTACAACACATTTAGCACTTTACAACAAATTCAACACCTTACAACACATTCAGCACCTTACAACAAATTCAACACCTTACAACACATTTAGCAATTTACAACACATTCAACACCTTACAACACATTCAACACCTTACAACAGCATTTAGCACTTTCAACAACAAACTTTCAACACCTTACAACACACCTTTTAGCACTTTACAACAAATTCAACACCCTACAACACATTTAGCACTTTAAAACAAATTCAACACCCTACAACACATTTAGCACTTTAAAACAAATTCAACACCTTACAACACATTTAGCACTTTACAACACATTCAACACCTTAAAACACATTTAGCACTTTACAACAAATTCAACACCTTACAACACATTCAGCACTTTACACCACATTTAGCACTTTACAACACATTTAGCACTTTACAACACATTCAGCACTTTACAACACATTCAGCACTTTACAACACATTCAGCACCTTACAACACATTCAGCACTTTACAACACATTCAGCACATTACAACACATTCTTCCTACTTCATCTTCCCCTTCTTCCCCTTCTTCCTCTTCTTCCCCTTCTTCCCCTTCTTCCTCTTCTTCCCCTTCTTCCCCTTCTTCCTCTTCTTCCTCTTCTTCCCCTTCTTCCCCTTCTTCCCCTTCTTCCTCTTCTTCTTCTTATTCCCCTTCTTCCCCTTCTTCTTCTTTCCTCCTCTTCCCTTTTCTTTCTTCTTCCTTCTTCTTCCCCTTCCTCTTCCTTCTTCATCCCTAACCCTTCCAACATCTATGCAGCCACTCACAATGGCTTCAGCCATTGTACCATTTCTAGTTCTTCTTCTTCTTCTTCTTCTTCTTCTTCTTCCACTTCCGCCAGATTTTGGCACTTTTCAACTCTTCAACGCTTTCACCAAATTCAACAAATTATACATCGTTACGACCGGCTTCACCGTCTCATTATTGCTATTACTTTTCACACTTCCACCTTTAGCACTTTTTCAGATATTAACAAAAGTTCAAGCACTTTTTCCCATAGACTTACATTGGACCAGTACAACAGATTACTCCCCATACAACACATTACCACACTAACAATTCATCACCACAGATACAATACATTACAACATCTTACAACACTTACAGCACCTTACAACACATTTAGCACTTTACAACAAATTCAACACCTTACAACACATTTAGCACTTTACAACAAATTCAACACCTTACAACACATTTAGCACCTTACAACAAATTCAACACCTTACAACACATTTAGCACTTTACAACAAATTCAACACCTTACAACACATTTAGCACTTTACAACAAATTCAACACCTTACAACACATTCAGCACCTTACAACAAATTCAACACCTTACAACACATTTAGCACTTTACAACACATTCAACACCTTACAACACATTTAGCACTTTACAACACATTCAACACCTTACAACAAATTCAACACCTTACAACACATTTAGCACTTTACAACACATTCAACACCTTACAACACATTTAGCACTTTACAACACATTCAACACCTTACAACACATTTAGCACTTTACAACACATTCAACACCTTACAACAAATTCAACACCTTACAACACATTTAGCACTTTACAACACATTCAACATCTTACAACACATTTAGCACTTTACAACACATTCAACACCTTACAACACATTTAGCACTTTAAAAAAAACAAATTCAACCAAATTAGCACTTTACAACAATATTACAACACTTACTACACATTCAGCACCTTACAACAAATTCAATACCTTACAACACATTTAGCACTTTAACACAAATTCAACACCTTACAACACATTTAGCACTTTACAACAAATTCAACACCTTACAACACATTTAGCACTTTACAACAATTCAACACCTTACAACACATTCAGCACTTTACAACACATTCAACACCTTACAACACATTTAGCACTTTACAACAAATTCAACACCTTACAACACATTCAGCACTTTACAACAAATTCAACACCTTACAACACATTCAGCACCTTACAACAAATTCAACACCTTACAACACATTTAGCACTTTACAACACATTCAACACCTTACAACACATTTAGCACTTTACAACAAATTCAACACCTTACAACACATTTAGCACTTTACAACAAATTCAACACCTTACAACACATTCAGCACCTTACAACAAATTCAACACCTTACAACACATTTAGCACTTTACAACACATTCAACACCTTACAACACATTTAGCACTTTACAACACATTCAACACCTTACAACACATTTAGCACTTTACAACACATTCAACACCTTACAACACATTTAGCACTTTACAACACATTCAACACCTTACAACACATTTAGCACTTTACAACACATTCAACACCTTACAACACATTTAGCACTTTACAACACATTCAACACATTTAGCACTTTACAAGACATTCAACACCTTACAACCTATTTAGCACTTTACAAAACATTCAACACCTTACAACACATTTAGCACTTTACAACAAATTCAACACCTTAGAACACATTTAGCACTTTAACACAAATTCAACACCTTACAATACATTTAGCACTTTAACACAAATTCAACATCTTACAACACATTTAGCACTTTACAACACATTCAACACCTTACAACACATTTAGCACTTTAACAAAAATTCAACAAATTTAGCACTTTACAACAAATTCAACACCTTACTACACATTCAGCACCTTACAACAAATTCAATACCTTACAACACATTTAGCACTTTAACACAAATTCAACACCTTACAACACATTTAGCACTTTACAACACATTCAACAACTTACGACACATTTAGCACTTTACAACAAATTCAACACCTTACAACACATTTAGCACTTTACAACAAATTCAACACCTTTCAACACATTTAGCACTTTACAACACATGTAGCACTTTACAACACATTCAGCACTTTATAACACATTTAGCACTTTACAACAAATTCAACACCTTACAACACATTTAGCACTTTACAACAAATTCAACACCTTACAACACATTCAGCACTTTACAACAAATTCAACACCTTACAACACATTCAGCACCTTACAACAAATTCAACACCTTACAACACATTTAGCACTTTACAACACATTCAACACCTTACAACACATTTAGAACTTTACAACAAATTCAACACCTTACAACACATTTAGCACTTTACAACAAATTCAACACCTTACAACACATTCAGCACCTTACAACAAATTCAACACCTTACAACACATTTAGCACTTTACAACACATTCAACACCTTACAACACATTTAGCACTTTACAACACATTCAACACCTTACAACACATTTAGCACTTTACAACACATTCAACACCTTACAACACATTTAGCACTTTACAACACATTCAACACCTTACAACACATTTAGCACTTTACAACACATTCAACACCTTACAACACATTTAGCACTTTACAACACATTCAACACATTTAGCACTTTACAAGACATTCAACACCTTACAACATATTTAGCACTTTACAAAACATTCAACACCTTACAACACATTTAGCACTTTACAACAAATTCAACACCTTACAACAAATTCAACACCTTAGAACACATTTAGCACTTTAACACAAATTCAACACCTTACAATACATTTAGCACTTTAACACAAATTCAACACCTTACCATACATTTAGCACTTTACAACAAATTCAACACCTTACAACACATTTAGCACTTTACAACAAATTCAACACCTTACAACACATTTAGCACTTTACAACACATTCAACACCTTACAACACTTTTAGCACTTTACAAAACATTCAATACCTTACAACACATTTAGCACTTTACAACAAATTCAACACCTTACAACACATTTAGCACTTTACAACACATTTAGCACTTTAATACACATTCAGCACTTTACAACACATTTAGCACTTTACAACACATTCAGCACTTTACAACACATTCAGCCCCTTACAACACATTCTTAATTCATCTTCTTCACTTCTTCCCCTTCTTCCTCTTCTTCCCCTTCTTCCTCTTCTTCCCCCTCTTCCCCTTCTACCCCTTTTTCACCTTCTTCTTCGTCCCCTTCTTCCCCTTCTTCTTCTTCCTCCTCCTCTTCCTTCTTCTTCTTTCCTCTTCTTCCCTTTTCTTTCTTCTTCCTTCTTCTTCCCCTTCCTCTTCCTTCTTCATCCCTAACCCTTCCAACATCTATGCAGCCACTCACAATGGCTTCAGCCATTGTACCATTTCTAGTTCTTCTTCTTCTTCTTCTTCTTCTTCTTCTTCCACATCCGCCAGATTTTGGCACTTTTCAACTCTTCAACGCTTTCACCAAATTCAACAAATTATACATCGTTACAACCGGCTTCACCGTCTCATTATTGCTATTACTTTTCACACTTCCACCTTTAGCACTTTTTCAGATATTAACAAAAGTTCAAGCACTTTTTCCCATTGACTTACATTGGACCAGTACAACAGATTACTCCCCATACAACACATGACCACACTAACAATTCATTACCACAGATACAATACATTACAACATCTTACAACACTTACAGCACCTTACAACACATTTAGCACTTTACAACAAATTCAACACCTTACAACACATTTAGCACTTTACAACAAATTCAACACCTTACAACACATTTAGCACTTTACAACTAATTCAACACCTTACAACACATTTAGCACTTTACAACAAATTCAACACCTTACAACACATTCAGCACCTTACAACTCATTTAGCACCTTACAACACATTCAACACCTTACAACACATTTAGCACTTTAACACAAATTCAACACATTTAGCACTTTACAACAAATTCAACACCTTACAACAAATTCAACACCTTACAACTCATTTAGCACCTTACAACACATTCAACACCTTACAACACATTTAGCACTTTACAACACATTTAGCACTTTAACACAAATTCAACACATTTAGCACTTTACAACAAATTCAACACCTTACAACACATTTAGCACCTTACAACAAATTCAACACCTTACAACACATTTAGCACTTTAACACAAATTCAACACCTTACAACACATTCAGCACTTTACAACACATTTAGCACTGTTCTTCCCCTTCTTCCTCTTCTTCTCCTTCTTCCCCTTCTTCCCCTTCTTCCTCTTCTTCCTCTTCTTCCCCTTCTTCCCCTTCTTCCCCTTCTTCCTCTTCTTCCTGTTCTTCCACTTCTTCCTGTTCTTCCCCTTCTTCCTCTTCTTCTCCTTCTTCCCCTTCTTCCTCTTCTTCCTCTTCTTCCCTTCTTCCTCTTCTTCCCCTTCTTCCTCTTCTTCCTGTTCTTCCACTTCTTCCTGTTCTTCCCCTTCTTCCTCTTCTTCTCCTTCTTCCCCTTCTTCCTCTTCTTCCTCTTCTTCCCTTCTTCCTCTTCTTCCCCTTCTCCCCCTTCTTCCCCTTCTTCATCTTCTTCCTCTTCTTCCTCTTCTTCTTCTTCCCCTTTTTCCTGTTCTTCCTGTTCTTCCCCTTATTCCTCTTCTTCCCCTTCTTCCTCTTCTTCTTCTTTCTTCTTCTTTCCTCTTCTTCACTTTTTTTCTTCTTCCTTCTTCCCCTTCCTCTTCCTTCTTCATCCCTAACCCTTCCAACATCTATGCAGCCACTCACAATGGCTTCAGCCATTGTACCATTTCTAGTTCTTCTTCTTCTTCTTCTTCTTCTTCTTCCACTTCCGCCAGATTTTGGCACTTTTCAACTCTTCAACGCTTTCACCAAATTCAACAAGTTATACATCGTTACGACCGGCTTCACCGTCTCATTATTGCTATTACTTTTCACACTTCCACCTTTAGCACTTTTTCAGATATTAACAAAAGTTCAAGCACTTTTTCCCATTGACTTACATTGGACCAGTACAACAGATTACTCCCCATACAACACATTACCACACTAACAATTCATCACCACAGATACAATACATTACAACATCTTACAACACTTACAGCACCTTACAACACATTTAGCACTTTACAACAAATTCAACACCTTACAACACATTTAGCACTTTACAACAAATTCAACACCTTACAACACATTTAGCACTTTACAACAAATTCAACACCTTACAACACATTCAGCACCTTACAACAAATTCAACACCTTACAACACATTTAGCACTTTACAACACATTTAGCACTTTACAACAAATTCAACACCTTAAAACAAATTTAGCACTTTACAACAAATTCAACACCTTACAACACATTCAGCACCTTACAACACATTCAACACCTTACAACACATTTAGCACTTTACAACACATTCAACACCTTACAACAAATTCAACACCTTACAACACATTTAGCACCTTACAACACATTCAACATCTTACAACACATTTAGCACTTTACGACACATTCAACACCTTACAACACATTTAGCACTTTACAACACATTCAACACCTTACAACAAATTCAACACCTTACAACACATTTAGCACCTTACAACACATTTAGCACTTTAACAAAAATTCAACACATTTATCACTTTACAACAAATTCAACACCTTACTACACATTCAGCACCTTACAACACATTTAGCACTTTAACACAAATTCAACACCTTACAACACATTTAGCACTTTACAACACATTCAACACCTTACAACACATTTAGCACTTTACAACAAATTCAACACCTTACAACACATTTAGCACTTTACAACACATTCAACACCTTACAACACATTTAGCACTTTACAACAAATTCAACACCTTACAACACATTTAGCACTTTACAACACATTCAACACCTTACAACACATTTAGCACTTTACAAAACATTCAATACCTTACAACACATTTAGCACTTTACAACACATTTAGCACTTTACAACACATTCATCACTTTACAACACATTTAGCACTTTACAACACATTCAGCACCTTACAACACATTTAGCACCTTACAACACATTTAGCACTTTAACAAAAATTCAACACATTCAACACCTTACAACAAATTCAACACCTTAAAACACATTTAGCACCTTACAACACATTCAACATCTTACAACACATTTAGCACTTTACGACACATTCAACACCTTACAACACATTTAGCACTTTACAACACATTCAACACCTTACAACAAATTCAACACCTTACAACACATTTAGCACCTTACAACACATTTAGCACTTTAACAAAAATTCAACACATTTAGCACTTTACAACAAATTCAACACCTTACTACACATTCAGCACCTTACAACACATTTAGCACTTTACAACACATTCAACACCTTACAACAAATTCAACACCTTACAACACATTTAGCACCTTACAACACATTTAGCACTTTAACAAAAATTCAACACATTTAGCACTTTACAACAAATTCAACACCTTACTACACATTCAGCACCTTACAACACATTTAGCACTTTAACACAAATTCAACACCTTACAACACATTTAGCACTTTACAACACATTCAACACCTTACAACACATTTAGCACTTTACAACAAATTCAACACCTTACAACACATTTAGCACTTTACAACACATTCAACACCTTACAACACATTTAGCACTTTACAAAACATTCAATACCTTACAACACATTCATCACTTTACAACACATTTAGCACTTTACAACACATTCAGCACTTTACAACACATTCAGCACTTTACAACACATTTAGCACTTTACAACACATTTAGCACTTTACAACACATTCAGCACTTTACAACACATTTAGCACTTTACAACACATTAAGCACTTTACAACAAATGTAGCACTTTACAACACCTTACAACACATTTAGCACTTTACAACACTTTCAGCCCCTTACAACACATTCTTCTTACTTCATCTTCTTCACTTCTTCCTCTTCTTCCCCTTCTTTCTCTTCTTTCTCTTCTTCCTCTTCTTCCTCTTCTTCCTCTTCTTCCCCTTCTTCCTCTTCTTCCCCTTCTTCCTCTTCTTCCCCTTCTTCCCCCTCTTCCCCTTCTTCACCTTCTTCTTCTTCCCCTTCCTCTTCCTCCCTCCTCCTTCTACCTCATCCTCTTCCCTCTTCTTCTTTCCCCTTCTTCCCTTTTCTTTCTTCTTCTTCTTCCTGCATCTTTCATTTCTTTCAACTTCTTCCTTCTTCATCCCTAACCCTTCCAACATCTATGCAGCCACTCACAATGGCTTCAGCCATTGTACCATTTCTAGTTCTATCTTTTTTCTATCCTGTTTGTCTGTATAAGGTGCTACATAGATTATTGTTGCTACCCCAAAACTATCCAGCTAGACCCACATGGTAACAAATTAGACGAATGTGTCGAATTTAATTTAATTTGTCTGTAATTATTTTGTGAATACTGACTGTTGTGATTTTAATTACATTTCCAATCAAGATACGCAACAAGGTATGTTATTAGACACTGTTTTTGACACATGTGTGCTTATGACATATTTCAAAAGATAATTATTCTATAGCGGCTGCCTTAGAGGCCTGGGGCGACAGTGGTTCAACATGGTACTAATTGTACTAATATATGACAGACTAATTAATACACAAAGGGAGATTTATGAACCCTGTATTCGGTATTATGTTTATAATTGGAGTCAGAGTAAAAAAAAAAAAAAAGAATATTTTGAAAATGGACTGTAAATAAATATATATTACATAAATTCAATTGTCCAATATTACTGTATACCTTGGCCCCTGTTTTTTTTATTTTTTTTTTTTTATTCATGCAATGTGAGTCTCACCCCATTGGGAAAAGCATCTCTGGTGAAAATGGGCCAGGTTCTCCAGTTGGTGTCATGGCGGAAGTCCTTGTGCACGTGCTCTCCAAGGCCGTAAATATTATGGGATGGCAGCTTGGCTGATATCTGCAGGTACTGATCTGCAAACACCAGGGGGGCCATGGTGGTGTCAAACCTGCAAACACATTCAGCAGAGGGAGAAAGGGAGAGGTAAACAAGAGTTCAGGCCACTGCTGAGAAAAGAGAGAGAGGCCTAGAAAAAAACTCCAGCGAGGCAAAGTGGGAAAACGAGACAGTGATGTGTGAAGGGGATGAACTGGAACAAGAAAAAAGATAGAACGGACCATCACGCAGTAATAAACCTTCTGGGCGGGAATGCTCACTGCTCCAAAGCAAGACCTACTTCAGTCAGTTCTGCACAGAGAAGTATGAAGCTCTGGCTGGTTTTGACACACTGACATGTGTAGGTGGAAAGGAATTACGGAGCTGTACTTAAAGGGAAAGTGTGCAATATTTTAAATTACACCTACATCTTTTACATGCGTCCCCAGGTAGTATGTAAATATGTACATGTCCTAATTAATCTTTTATGAACGTATACTTATTCTTAATTAAAACATAAAATTATATGATGTCCATTGTCTGACAATTTGTAATTTACTGTTATTCCCAAATAGCTGTACTTTCAACGTGTTATTTTTAAATGACAGTGACTTTGCAGACAGCACTATGACATAAAAATAGGTGGTGGTTTAAACCTGTAAATTAAATTCTGATAACCATTTAACATATATTTTTGTTTGTTAAAAAAAATGTTGTCAGTATGATACATTTCTACAACAGTGAAGTTTTGATTAATATAACGTTTAATATTTTTCAAATAATTATATTGTTTATGGCTCCTATATTACTCCAAAAAAACTCCTATGACTGATTACCCATGAAATCCATCTGCTGGGGTTTAGCTAGAAATGATACAAACTCTGTGAATGATGTATGAAAACATATTTTGTATGTCCATCTTGTTTTGTACAAGAAATAGCCAAAACCAGCTAAATTTCAAGTAGGTGTAGCTTATAATTACATGCTGTCCCTTAACATACTTCCAAATGCCTGAAATTCTACGTTTATCTATGCCTTTACTAAAGTACCTGTCATTTGGTGAAAACAATCCTTTGTTTTCACCAAATGACAGGTACTTTAGGACGCAATTCACAATGGAGCAGCAGCAAATGGGTAGAGAAACAGAGATACGGGTGAAACATACTGTATCAGGGTACAGGGCAGGGAATAAAACTTTAAAAAACTAGAGAACTAATAAAGAAAAATAAAACCATATACAAATAAATCAACATACTTTTGCCACCTTTACCCACTTGACTTCAGCAGCAAAAAACGTGACACCATCACGTTTATAAGTCCAGAAGGTCAAAGAGCAAAAGATGATTGATCCATTATGCAAAGGGCGCACATTTAGCGTTTTATGTATCAATAAACTATGATCCCAAATGATTGGAGCAACAGTTTTAATAGAGCAATAGCATTTTTATGGGCTATTCATAGTTTTATCTCTGTATTATGAAACAGTGTCATGACAGCAATGAAACCTTCTCATTGTGACATTGTGCAATCGTGTTTTGACACTTCTTTGGAAACAAATGAAGAAAACATAATCTAGGACACCTGTTGATATGTTGGCATAAATAGAGTATGCAAAGTGCATGCAGACATCTATATAACTCTTTACTAGGTGGGAATGCTTTGTGCTGGGATATTATTTGTGTCGACCTTTTCTTGCTGCTCTAAAGTCACTGGATACACGGTTTCATTCTGCCCTTCATTTTATCACAGGTGACAGGTGTAAAACTCATCACTGTTAATTTGTGAAACACGAAGGTTAGTCTTTGCTGTTCGTTAAAAGAGAGCAACATTCTACTAATATATATATATATACATATATTTTTTTATAGATAGATAGATAGATACTTTATTAATCCCTGTAGGAGAAATTCAGGTGCCCAGTAGCAGCAAAAATTTAAAATAAAATTGATCACTCTAAAAATAGTAATAAGCAGCAACAGTGGTGTAGCCTCTGGGTGGAGCAGGATGGGTCACAGCAGCAGATGTGGAGTAGCCACTGGATGGAGCAGGACGGGTCACAGCAGCAGAGGTGGAGTAGCCTCTGGGTGGAGCAGGACAGGTCAAAAGGTGGAGTAGCCGCTTGGTTCGGACCATTTTCTCTGCTCTCGTCCAAAGCAAAATACTAAATGCGTCATAAGCATTTTTCAAAAAGTTTGCATTCCTCCAGTGGGTTTTTGCCTGATCCACTTGGTTCAGACCATGAATCCTCTCTGCTCTAGTCTGGACCAGTGCAAAACTATGCACACTATACTGCAGCAACATCTCAGGCAGAAAAAAGTGTCTGTTTCAGAGCTACTCAGGACTTTCTGCCATTTTCCAGTGCATTCAAAAGTAAATAGTAAGTAAAACTAAAGTAAAAGTAAAAATATGTAAAAGAAAAAGTAAGTAAAAGTATAAGTAAATAGACAGTAGATCATTCAATATTTGAATCCAAATGTGGACGTGTGATCCTGTCAGACTCCTAAGCAGGGCAGGGAATGTTTGGGGACCAGGTGCAGAGAGGACTGAGAAGTGGTCGAATGAGGAGACCCTGACAACCCAGTCCACACACACAGTGTCTGGTTTTTGGGAGGTGGAACATTACCTTAAGGAAAACAACCTTCCACCATATTTGTCTTGTATAGTGTGAGGTAAGCAGAAAACATAGACAGGCCTTATTCAAGACTATCGCACCTGTCAGCTGTATATACAAGAGATATACAGTATATCAGGCTAATGGTAAATGTCTACTTCAAAATATGCTTTGTCCATTTCAATACACTGAGCCAGTAAATAGCTGATTGACGATGAAGCTTGCCCTTGCTGTTCTGACTGTATAAAGATCGATCTTAATCTCTCAAGATGCAGAAAAACATACATACAAGGCTACATTACAAAATACATGGGCAGGAATTTCATTTTATCTAGATGGTCGCAATGATTGTAACACAGCCCTTTCTGCTTGGCATTCTACATATGAGAACACATGTACACACACAAAATGTATCTTATATAATATATATATATATATATATATATATATATATATATATATATATATATGGATTATGTTTTATTAGCCATTTATATAATTTGAAACACATAAACATGACATTAGGATGTCATCTTCATCGCAATCCGAATAAGGTTTGTATTATAGTTATATATGTGGTGTGCTTTACAGAAGTGGCAAAACTATTAGGGGAAAAATATACATAAAGTAAAGCCTGGCCGTACAACACCATAGTACAAATTATATTTCGTACTAAGGTCTGGAGGTGCTCCATTGAGCTCTGTTTACAGGTGGGAGGTGTTAACTCCTTTTGCAGATTGAAACGATTGGATCTGAGTTTACCGTGACGTTGTTTGCATCTGTTGTTTGCATTTAGCATTTAGCCTAGCCATCTCCTTTGCCGCTAACGGAGCCAGAAGGGAGTAGCGCCACAATTTTTTCCAGCGATTACATTTGCTAAACATTACCCTTGCTCCGGCTTCAATTTCTTGATAGAACCAGACCAGATTACTTTACTATCACATTTTTCGCCATTACAAAACTACAACCTGCCTGTTCGACGCAAACTCTCGACATCACCCACAACTAACTACAACACCTGCTTTCCGTGCTCTCTGGTCGAAATTCAACCGATTGCAATCGCTAACATAGGGACTAGACCCAGACGTTACATGCAGTGAAATGATGATTGAACAGAGTGTACGGATGGCTAAGGCCAGGCTACATAAAGTATAGTATAGTCAAAAAAAGGACTCTGTTACAAAGCACCAAGGTCCTCATGTAGATGACGGTAAAAGTACCAATGGTACTTTCAGTAGCTATACCAACAGTCATTTGTTCATGTGAATGACACCAGGGCGGTACTAAAACATGTACAATAGGAAAAATCATATCTGGAGATGCCCGAGTGGCAATGAAGAATGGGTCAAATGCTGAGGACAAAATTCCCTACTCATACATTAAAGTATAACTGAACTGAAATGAATTACTCATTACTCCACTCAGGAAGTCACAAGGAAAAATGAAATCATAATGTTACGGAAAAAGAGAGTTTTGACACATGCAGCAGGCCGTGCAGAGCATGCGGCACATGAAACAACTGTAAGCGTCTGCAGTCCGTGGGGCCGCCATCAGGGGTTGCCAGATTTGTTTGTGGACGAGGGATCAACCCGCATAGACTAGCCGGTGCCATCTAGTGCCTTCGCTCTCTCCAGCTAAACCGTGTTGTTTGCTTTTATGCACACTGTTGGAAAGCCTGCTTGACTTTATTTTTAACAGCTGTGGTTATGTTTGTGATTTTATAATCCTGGTTATACTTATACCTGGTTATGCTATACAAACTTTAACTTAGCTTAAAGTTTATGTCTATAGATCATTAGATCTCTCCATCTTATACCTACCTTCTCAGTTTCCTTTTGCAGCAGGCAGCACATATGCTTTCATAGGCGGCGTATGGAAGTGGCGCATACTCACAGGACTTTTTTGTTCTCCCTCCTGCGTACAGTGATGCCAAAGGGCTTGTGCGTGATCTGCATGATGTCGGGATGGGGTCTGGATGGCTGGTAGTTGAGTTTATTGATGTGCTCATGGGGGACCTCGAACCTTTGCCTTCTGGCATCGTAGATCTGAGAAGGGGAAACCAAACAGTGGAACCAGTGCTGCCAATGCTACCACATTTGTGTTTTGTGTTGTGAGCCGAAAGTATGGGTTGACATGTGTTTTAGAGTTAAAATTAATGTAACTTTAAATTAATAACCTTTTTTAATTGTCAAAAGCATGGATGATGCTTGTATAAGTTTACCAGATCATACACCAATCTTTGCTCAACGTGTATGCGTTTAACCAAAAAATTATAGACAGATAAGATCAAAATGTTAATTTTTAATTTGAACCTGATTTACATCTATAGATAGACCTAATTTACAAAAGCAAATATTGTGTAAACCTCCTTATAATATGTTAACAATTAACTGTTAAACAAACAGTTATTCCATTTCCCTTAACGGTCATAAAAGCATTCATATATTCATATTTTTTATGATGTCATGCACGTGACAGATTTTACCTTGAAATGAAGCCGCTTGGATGTTTGCATTTCTGCTTGAATTGCCAGCTCCTCAATATCTGCCCCAAACAAAGATGGAGAGGGCATTCTACGAAGAGTTGCTTTCATCACTGAAAGAATAAAAGGTAAATGGATATTAAAGGATGGTGGTGGATTGGTCAAACATTACACACCCCCAAGGCATTTATATTCTGTTTTGTCCAGAAAAATTTTAGCCTGTGCACTGTAGATAAGTTAGATTGGTGTATCTTGGGAAAATGCAGACTTGTGAGGCGTTTTCATACTGCAGTCCCATTATTTAAGCCTGGGTGCAAATGGCACGTCAAACCGAGAGAAACAGTGTGAAATGTCAGGATTTTTTTTTTTTGACCGTCTCGTCGAAAGAAGGTTAAGGAGAGTGAAGGGACCTAACCAAATGGCTGTTACATAACTAGAGTTGACCTATGATACAACAAGGCAAAAAGACGGAACAGAAATGTCCATGGCTTTATTGTACAATTATGTGTAGTGGCGACAGTGGCTCAGTTGGTAGAGCCTTTGGGCCTGAAGTTTGTGGGTTCGAGCCCACCATGAGACCTACTTCACAACTCCCACTGATGTCTGCTGTTGTTGTGTCATTGGGCAAGACACTTAACCCCACTTTGCCTGAAGCCCCTGCTGAAAGATCAAGGCTCCTGTGGACTCACCACCTGCAGGAGGATCAGTGAGGGACTATGGACTATGTGTACTGGGTGCAGCTCTGACTGCCATCCCCCCCGACCCAGAAATGGATTAAGGGGAAGAAAATGGGTGTGTGTGTGTGTGTGTGTGTGTTGACTGATTATTGGCTCGGCCTATTATGTGCACCTCAATTATTAGTCTTGTCCAGCCTACTATTCGAACCAACAATTATACAATTCAAACATTTATTAGCCTATTGCACAACAGCCCAGCCTATTGCACAAAGAAGGATCTGATTAGTTTTGCTTGGTTTATTTAATAAAAAAAACACTCAAACAACAGGACACTTTATTTGGACAAAATCACATCAAATACAATTTAACGTCTACTGTAAGTGTTGTCTCTCCAACTCTGCTGTTACATTTCACCTAGCCTAAACACCGGAGCTATTATTGTTGTCTTAATCTTATTCCTTTTCTTGTTCTCGTTAAATAAACATTAAAGCAAAGTGAATTCTTGAAGTTTGTATTATTCAACAAGTTGACATCAATGTTTTCACTTATCCTGCAATTGAATATTGACTCTATAAACATTGGTTTTTGGCTCTGAAAAAAACCATGTCAGTCAAGCCCCAGTGTTTTGGTCCATTATTATGAACAGTTTTGACCAAGATGAGTGAGGTATCATGTTTGTTTGTGAAGTTAACACTTCTGTTGGGGTAGGGTCAGTTTCAGTTTCACTCAGGGTAAAATAAACGGGCGCTTGTCAGGATTAAAATGCCTGTTGTGTAACATATAATTAATAGAATTTTGATGTCATAACTTGCCCTCTTATTGATTTTACTTGGACCTGCTCTGGACCTCCTAAGTCCCCGACATGACCCCAATTATCTAAAAATCCAAGCAGGAAACATATTTGCACTCAAGACAGTCTCACAGACAGTCTGCCTGCTAATAAGACAAAATGTGAAACCCCAATCACATCTGATGAAGATGCTAGTTAGTTTGACCAGTAAAATTTTTCCAGGTAATATAGAACAGTGGATTCGTTAAATATTTGAATTGATGCATGCCATATGGAGTTGATTTATAAGATCATATTATTTTTGCAATTCAACAGTGTTTAGGGGCTTACTCTAAGAAGGTTAAAAAACACAGTTATTCAGGATTAAACACTGAAATACTAGCTTGGGACTCTCCATGCTGCAGTGTGTAGTCAGATCATTCCAAAAACTGGAAACTTTAGAAAAAATGTTTGCATAGATAAGGGGACCAATCACAGAACAGGGCAATGATCACACACTATAAGACAGATGGTAGTTTTTTATGATCTACCGTATTTTTTGCACCATTAGGCGCACCTGATTATAAGGCGCACTGTCAAATTGTGCATTTATTTCCAACTGCGTCACTGCTAGCTTAGCTTTAAATCTGTTTAAAGCTTTATGTAAGACCTGAAACTTCATATTGAGTTGTATGGCATGATCGGATGCATGCGTCTCATATTTTAATTATTCGCGAGTGACGCATCTGGCTTCTGTGCCTGCCCGAAGTTTTACATTTTGGCATATAACTAGCTATAAACAGTAGCTCGGTCACACGCAGAAATTGATACACAGGGCGCACCAGATTATAAGGCGCGCTGTTAAGATTTACTTTTATCTGTGACCAATGGTGCGAAAAATATGGTAACATAACAGCAGGAGAAGCTACAGTATCTTCCCTCATGTTAAAATTAAAAATTGCAGCAATTGTTTGGCACAATTGTGTAAACATCATTTTCCTTTTTCGCTTTTTTCCCTCTTTCACATAATAAGAAAGAATTGAAACAATTGCATACTTGAAAACAATCGCAAACCCAATACACAGCTATGGACAACCAGACTTCTCCCACGGGAGAATGAGCAGACAACAGACTTCATATTGACTTTTGATATTTAGTCTGACGTTAGCCAGGCTAGTGAAACTATACTATATATTATATTATATATTATCCCAGTATTCATTAACAAATGTTTGTATTTATTTATTTAAGGATAGCCCCATTGAGATAAACTATCTCTTTTTCTAATACCATTAGCCAAATGCAGGCTAATGGAATTTTTGTGCATTCTGCCAAAAACAAAATCATATGAAACACGTAAAATTAAATTAAAATCATCAGAAGACACTGTATTCCCATGCTTCTCATTCACCACTGAGATCAAAGGATGAGCTGAGGCGCAGTGAGGACTCGGAGGGAAATGTCTCTTATTTGCATAAACGCCTCAAGTGATTTTAGTACAATATTTGAAGACAATTGAAGTGATTATACAAGTCTTTCTTTCTTTACAGATGCAGAGAAATAGTGCTCACCTCACTCAAAAGTTTTCGATTCAAGCACCTTTATCACGGCAAAACAATATCACTCTTCTCCTCCATATGATTTCACGCCATTACAGAAAATGCGGGAGAACATTTATATATAAAAATGTCCATTGAATCTTTGTTCTTTACACAATAACCGAGTTGGCACAAGGAAATCAAGCAGAAAATAGGAAAGCCTGCATGCTGCAAAGTCAATCATGTTTTCTGATATGGCATCCATGTCATATTTCACAGAAAGTTATGCCCACGGCGAAGTACGTACGAAGGGAACGGGGGGAATGGATGTGACGGCTGAAAGATTGATGGAACACTATGCTTGTTTGACTTCGAAAATAGGCTAAGCTAAACGGGAAGTCAAATATTAAAGTTTGGCCACGGATCGGCAGTGTGCAGAGCGTGGAGGGAATAGGGGAGTTTACCATTAGGGTTTGATTGATCCAGAGATTCCAACGAGTATCCATGATTGGCTGAGAAGAAACACCAGGGGACGTTCCTCTCATCCAGGGGGCTCCAGCAGCAGCCCCGCGCCTCGCATTTTTCCTACAAAATACAATGTTTCAAGGCAGAAATACTTAAAGCGATTGGAAGGAATTGTGGGAGTAAGCTGTGTGTCTAAAATATGTAATAGACTAATAGACACAAGGCTTATTTCCACTGCATGCTGTGTTGACCCAGGACAACAGTGGGAAAGATTAGAACAATTGTTAGACGTGTAATGCCTTTTCACCACAAGATTGTGTTCATATTAAAGAGTCAAAACAAACTTTCAACTTTCTAAATCCGTCTTCTGAATTCACAGCTCAGTGTTCTCAGGAGCCTTTTATTACTTTTATTTGACATTATTTTATGTAATTTGTCATAATGGTGAATTTCAAACTTGATAATTTAATACAGGACATTGATGATCCAGGATATTTATGAACAATGATCACCATTCTACCCTAAAGACAAATGGCTCCTTTCAGATTGTTTGATTTTCAAATTTGTTTTCTAAATGTAGTAAATTCCTCAAAGATGACTGAATTAGGCTCTTCAAATCGATGATTGAAAAGACACATTGTTAAATTACATGAACAAAATTAATCAAAAAACAAGGTTTCTTATTGCTATGTCCTAATCAATTAGATCAAAGTTTGTAATTCTATAAAAAAACTGTATTAAAAAAGATGTGATCATATTCATGTATTGTAAGGCTATATAGACAATTCTATATAGCCAACTTCTGCAAACTTCTGCTTAAAATGAAAACTAACCATAGACAGTATATTAGGAGTGGAGTGACGGAGTGCTGACGTTACCGTTGTGTTAGCCTTAACGCGGAGACATAGACTGTAAAGTTAGCTTGTCCATCTTTACAGTAGGTACAGTAGTATATGAAACTAACCTACAAAATATTCCATGGTAAATATATGAATTTGCATGGCACAACTACATTTGTCTCCCCTTTAAGGATCACCTAATTTCGCCTGCTCCTTCTCGAATTATGATACCCAAATGGAAATGCTTATTGTGTGGACATCTTGTGTCTGATTTTGTGTTATGATGCCTCATTTGAAAGGTAACACCTTCTAGTTTCTGAAAATGTATGTTACAGTTTGTTAGGAAGGACACAGTCTGCACTACAGCTTCTCAAACATGAGTCAAAGTTAGTTTTTTTTGTCTCGAAAAAAAAAAGGCAATTTCAAAAGGTTCTCCTGAAGACATACTTTATGGTATGATGTTCAAACTCACCAGAGCAGATGTTTGTGGTGTTGCCTGTAACCTGTATGCAATTCTAGACCTTTAGGTGGAACTATTTTGATGCTGGGGGCTTTTTTGTAACTAATGGGCACATTCGGCACAAGTGGTCCATTTTTGTGCCAACTGTGCAAAAGTGTTTTACATGCAAATTATCAATGTTTTTACACCAAAAATCCATTTATATAATTTTTTGGCTATTACTCTTGCTATAAATAGCATTTTTTCCAGATATTGAAATGTTTGCAGAAAAGCTATTATTTATATAGTTATAGCGCGTGTTCTCCGTGAAAAAGGCTCCGTCTTCCTCTTTACGCATTCAAATATGACGGGAACAGTGGGAGAAAGCTAGAAGTCCGACACATCGCCTGAAACCTGAGATGCTACAAGATGATTTGATTGACATCCAAATCGGCCAATGGTAGTCAAGACAATGCTGTCATGACGCACAGATATCTATGTGAATGGAGCGCTAAAGCTAGGTGCGCTTGTTTTACTCAACTTACTCTACCTTCCAAACCATAGCACTGAAAAGTCCGGGAATGGGCTTGTTTTGAAGGGAAGACTGAGAGGAAGACGAACATACCCAGTGACGCTAGCTAAACAATAAAATGTCCTCTTCATACAGTGCGCAAAGAACAGGTTTTGTTTTTGTTTGTGCAACTTTCAATACTCAAATATGTTGTTGCAAGTGGATATCTACTATAAGGATGACTTTGAAGAAAAAACAACTGGATATAATTATTCTCTAGATCCTAACGAACAAAACAAATGCACACATGTGTGGATTAGACGTGATTTGCCCCAGAATATTAGCATGACAAGGTAAGAAACGACAATATATATTTTAAACATATATACAGTTTGACTACTTATTCTTACTTTTGGTTATATTTAATGTTTATTTGAACATAATACGTGTATAGAGGTGGGAATAAGCTTTCAAAAGAGATATAGCTTGACTATATTGACACAAGTGAATTCTAATACTGATGCTGTTAAATGAAAAATAACTGAATCCTCCCTGTACAGGGAGGGTGATCCTTAAGAGGTTAATATATATCTTATAGGCTTTTGGTTGCACACCACAGACAGATTCAGTTTATACGGAAATAAAATGACAAAAAAAAAAGCTTGTACCTTGGAGGCACCGGCATCTGGGAAGCAGTCCACTCTCTCAGCATGAAGAATGATAGGACAAGTAGGAACAATTTTTGTTTCTGTCAACAGAGAACAAAACATGTTTATGCATTTGACACAAACTCCAACAGCAAAAGTAGGTCTGTAAACTGTAAACACACAGTATAAATTAATATTATATACCCATGAGTCCAGGGACGTGCAGTCAGGGGAGGCAGGGGAGGCAGAGCCTCACCTGCCATTATTGGAAACTAATAATTATTTTAGTTTAAATATATAATTTATATCCACTGTCCTATGCTTTTAATGTATATTCGGTACGGTTCCCATCAGTTTTGATCATTTCTGAAGTCAAAATCGCCGAAATCCCGTTATTCCTATTCAAAGAGACGAGGTGAGGCAGCGCTCCTGCGTGCCTCACCCCAGACCGCTCCCTCACAGTGTGTGTGTGTGTCTGAGTGCACTCAGCTCGTGCAGTTGATATATCACCGTTTGTTTCAAATATCCTGCTTTAAAAACATTTTTTAAACTCCTCTTAGTGTTTAGTAGTGTATTGCACGTATGTGTGTACAATTTATATTTAGTTTAAGTCTTTTGATCGTAGATGAACACACAAGGAAAAAGCTTGGCGTGAGGCAGGCGGTATCTGTGCCTCACCGCTAGGGGTGATAGTGAGCATAAAGTTCATACCAGAGTTGCTAACAAACAATCAGCCCAAAATGCTATTTCTTTTGCTGGAAAATGGATGATTTGAATGAAGATTTTTTTTCTCAATTGGACTTTCAAACAAAGAAAGAATTAATATAGACTGGGAGACCACCACTGGACTTACGAGGTTAGTCCGGCTGCGGGGGAGGAGTTTGTTAATCTGTGTTTTATGTTGAACATTGACAGATACCGGCAAAGTAGTGCTTTTCCGAAAAACACTGATTCAAACACTGCTCAAGAGTTCTGCAACTTGTTTAAATTATTGTTTATGTTCCTCGCGTCTCTCTCTCCTCGCGTCTCTCTGCTCCTCTCTGTCTCTCTCTGCTCCTCTCTCCTCGCGTCTCTCTCTCCTCGCGTCTCCGTCTCTCTCTGCTCCTCGCGTCTCCGTCTCTCTGCTCCTCGCGTCTCTCTCTCCTCGCGTCTCCGTCTCTCTGCTCCTCTCTGTCTCTCTCTGCTCCTCTCTCCTCGCGTCTCTCTCTCCTCGCGTCTCCGTCTCTCTCTGCTCCTCGCGTCTCCGTCTCTCTCTGCTCCTCGCGTCTCTCTCTCCTCGCGTCTCCGTCTCTCTGCTCCTCTCTGTCTCTCTCTGCTCCTCTCTGTCTCTCTCTGCTCCTCTCTCCTCGCGTCTCTCTCTCCTCGCGTCTCTCGCACCTGCGCTTCTTAAAGATGTTGTTTGATGCGGAGCAGAGTCAGCAGCTAGATTTGTTGTGAGATTATTAAAAGAAGCTGGTTCTCTTATCTTTACAGTATATAAAGTTTGTGGATGTCATTGCATTGGTGATTAAATGCTATTTTATTTGAATAATGATTGTAAATCTGACTTTTAAAGTCAGTGCCTCCCCAATCACAAACCTCACCGCACGTCCCTGCATGAGTCTGACCACATGATGCTGCTCCGCTTCGCACTCACGTTGCTAATGCTAGCTACTCTTTAGCCATGCTCTGCTGATGTTATGCTAGCTGATGTTAGCATGATATGAATCAAGCTGCAAATTTAGCCAAACGATGCTACTATTTGTACCTTTCAAGAAAAGGCTAAACAACAGAAAAATAGGATAAGCATAAAGAAATGATTGTGAATACATATAGCAGTCTGTCAGTTATTTTTAAACTTCCAACATATTACGTTTCAACATATGTCTTTTACTTTAAAAGAGTATTTCCTAACATTATTTTATTTTTTCAGATTTAGTTTGATGTGTAAAACTGTTTATTTTTTTTATTTTTTTAAACAGTTATTGCTCACAATAATTACAACATATTTGGAATTTGCAATAGGACAAATAGACATTTCTAATCTTCACAATCTTTTAAATGGACTGGTTTATTAGTATGTGTATGCATATTTCAAAAGTATTCTAAAGATGTTTTTAAATCATTTTGTGCCATGATAAAATGGTGTCATGTTTGGGCCAAAATGGGCACACATTGGTATTAACCTTATATGGTAATGCAATGTTTGTTTGCATTTAATGTGACTCTTCCTCTTATAAAGTATATGTAGTGCCATTTTTGTGTGTAGAACAAGCACATTTGAAATCACATACATGCATTTGATTTATTATTCTGAAGTCCAGTGTTCTTACCCCTTTGGCTTGTTACAAAGAGAGCAATGAGAGCGATGCAAGCAATCGTCATCAAAAGGAACATGATGATGAGGGACATCTCCAGCCCGGAGAAGCGCCGCCTCCCCATCTACACCACAAGGGACACAAGCAGAGGCCAAAACCATTAACATCCACTAATGACAACTCACTGACTAAAGACAAGGTTTCCAAGGTCTCCCCAAACAACCTAATGAGCACCACTGGTGAGGTGAGAAGCACACTCACACAGAAACATGGTGAAATCAAGTACTACTATACAGTATCATTATATGACTTGGACCGTACGTGCGCTCTGATTGGCTGATTACCTGTCTGATATTTTCCCATCTCGGACCGTTACCATGACAATTGGTCCGAACAGCGCGTATCACATTTGATATCTTTCCTCGGACCGTTACCATGACAATCTGTCCCCAGCCCGTATCACACAAAACCAAGTCGGACATGAACATACTTCACACATTTCTCAAAAGCATTGGTAAAGACACAGAGAGTCAAATAATAAAACATTTATTAACCTCGCGCTCGGTTAATAAACCGTTAATATCATTCTTAAAAATAGACTCAACAAACGGGAATTTATGTGGTGGATGTTTTTGAATTGTTTCGTCACTGCTTGAATTAAATGCATTTTTATTTTCATTTGGATGGGACATTTGGATGCTTAACAGCGAGACACAGTATACTTGATTTATATTTCAAACTAAGATCCCTAAGGCCATACAAGAGTTAAAGGCACACGTCAAATTAATCTGGCAATTAGGCTTCCCTCCAAAGTCCTGCTAAAAGACACAAAACAAGGTGAGTATGCGAGTGTGTCTGGGCTGATGGAGGCTCAGAGTGGAGCTGTTTAATGTCCTGTGAAGAGCAAGCAAGGACGAACACACCGCCAAATGTCTGCTGTACTGCCCATTTACAATCACTTTCATTTTAGATGGAGGGAAAGCAAAAATGAGTAAAACACAACGGAGCATAAACACTTTTCAATGTGTTAGAGTAAAATAAACAAGTCGTGTTTTTACAGCTTTCAATGGTTAAAACTGTTTGTTTTTTTAACAGAACTGTACTTTCCAGGTACCACACGTGTAATTCTGTTTTAGCCTACCGGGATTAAAACTGGTATTTAGCGATAAATTGCAACTAATCACAACCAATCATATTTTTTTCAATAATTGACAAAATGTATCTTTGTAAGTGATAGATTGTTGACTGCTCTTTATACAAACTACAGCGCATTTTTGTTTCCATTTTTATTTATTTACAAAAACAGGGAAGTCATTGCATAACAACTATACAGTAATATCATTCTTTAGTAATACATTCATTCTAAATGGGAAAAAAAAGTTTCAGAAATGCCTCTAGGCAACTTCATCTTCTAATAGTGTCCAGCCAGACAGGAGACTCTTTTAATGTATACACTCAACACAATAAGACTTAAAAAAACATCGGGGAACAGTTGAGTAAAACTGTTTTTCTATTTCTATTTTAGCAACATACTGGTGCAAACTTGGCAGTACCAACAAAACACATCAACATGCACACGTACCCTTAAGCTTCCCAACTTCTGCCCAATGCTGCCAGTGCTGTTCTAAAAATACCCCAGCTGTATCAGTTTACGTCTCTGCCTTGCTCAAAGTCAGACTCAGTTATAAACTCAATTTAGTTGTTTTAGCTAAGCTTATAAAAGCGTATTGTTCTTCAGTATCTCTGTGTTTAATCATTAGCCAGAGAGTAGTTGCATAAAACGTGGCAATGAAAAGTGCATTGCAAACTTAATCCCCTAATGGTTTTATTATATCATGTCACATTTTTGCAGATGTTTTTTCCACTCAAAACAACTTTATTTTGATCATTTCACTTTGGCATATCAAAACAGGGAGATTATTGGTAAAAACATTTAAAACATTCCTCATTGAAGTTCACCCAGTTTGTCTTGTTTTTCATGACATATGGGGTTGTCCAGTTCTTTTGCTTGGTTTGGGAAATAAACCAAAAGATTACCATAGATCAATTAAGAATCATACATGGATGCTTTCCAATGGGATTAGTTCCTGCAATAGTATGTTGAGTTTAACACCTTGATGCCAATCCAACAAAGCATGTTGTTTTGATATGACATAATGCCACATACAGTACTGATACCACAGACACACTTTTAAGGCATGGATTGCAGATATTTGTCACTTAAATTACAGTTAAAAGTACAGGTTGTATATGTGTCCCCAGATAATAGGTCAACATGTGTATATCATAATGGACCTTTGAACTGCTTGGTTTCTCATTAAAAGACAACTGCTGGTTGAGATATATATTATATTTAATATTTATGTTTATGGTTTTCAAGCAGATTATCCAATCAGAGAGCAGAATGGGTCTCTCATTTTGCTGGTTTGGGATTTCTATGTCTTTTAACAAAATTCCCAAAAACAAAAAAATAGCGCCACACATATTTAAATGAAAGTAGATGAAAAAAAAAATAGTCAAATGTAATACAAAGAGTTTGTTTTGTTTCTAGCTAAACCCCAGCAGGTGGATTGCATCAGTAAACAGCTCTTAGGAGCTACATATGTCACAGGCAAGAGGAGTTCTGGCACTGGCACTTTATAAGACCACCAAAAGTTCATTATACATACCTAGAGATTATTGTATATTTATTTTTTTGCTGATTTTTTCTCTCTCAAACTTTAGTTTAATCAGTTTAGTTTTATTATTTTAATTTGGCATACACTATACTTCATTATGACAGGGACATTGGTGGATAATGTTTCAGTAGGACACACTGTTTGTAGCTGTTCCAAATGGTCTCATTTCAGTGAAAGCATAAAATAAATGACATGGTTGAGTGTAGCTTAAAACATTGCACGGCCTATTGAGCTGCTTCAAATTATTCAGCAAGGTCTGTTCACCATTGATTCACCCACACAACATCACAACCTTCTCACAGTAAGATCTTGCATTTTTTTCCCCTGCAAATTTAACAAGTTTGCTATTTGTTATTAGGGTATAGACAGATCCTTACCTTGGCGGAGAAGTGTGTGGGGCTAGTGCTAGTTAAAAGACTGCTGAGTTGAGCGATAAAAGCTGGTAATCCTTTGGAAGAATAGTCACCACTCCTCTCTGTGTGCCGTTTCACAATCTCACAACACAGAGTCTGCAGCTGTAAATAATCATTGAGAGCCGGTGAAAACAAGCACTGCCAGAAATCCTAATATCACATCGTTTTTCTATCGATCACGTTTTAGCTCGGAGGCTGTAGTGGTTGCGTGGAGGCGTGGCCGGTAGTAGGGCTGATGTCCGTTGGTAATAATAATGGTCTGTTTGGAATTTATGTAAGCTGTGAGTCAGAAAAATGATCAGTACTTTGGCCTTCAGACCACACCTGTATGTAATGTACATTATAGTAATTCAGTAATAACTAATATGTTTTGGTAATGTGTATGTCCAAGTATTTCCAAGTTGAAACTCTTATAACACACACAAATTAGACAATCGTTATTACACTGCCACTAAAACTCTACCAAGGTCAAAAGCTCCATAGTAAAATAGTGCCATGTTATATGGCTGACATTAATTCTAAATGATGCCCACTTGAGCTCTAATTATTGTGAATAATAACCATAAAAGAAGCTCTCCTTCATGCAAATATTATCATGATGAAAAAAGAATTCAAATATGTACTTGATTTGACAAAGATAAGAGTATTTTATTGGTGTGGGACGCCTTATTGTTTGAATAGTCTGAATCAATCTAAATAGCAATAGTCTCGGAGGTCTTTACAAAACTGTCAATTCGCCATCAACAGATTAGAGAATCAAACAATTAGAACATTAATAAAACGTATAGGAGCCATTGGTCCATAGGGAGCATGATGACCAATGTCCAAAGTTTTAATAAAAGTCCATTTAGTGAACCAGACCAAAAAGTGTGAACGTACTTTTTGACAGAATTACTTAAAAGTGTATTTACATTTACACAATGACTGTTTTAGACTAAATCAGGTCAAACTGTTTAGAAAAGGGCCTTTTGGACCAAACACAAAACTGATACTTGGCCCTACAAGTTGGGTTGATACCAATATGAGTCCAATACGAACAGAGACTAAACATTTAATGTTTTATTTTAAATATTGCCCTGACCCATCTCACATGTTAGTTTCCCTGACGTGTTTATGAAGATGAAGCAAAAGTGTCCACATGAAAAGACATCTCATCGTCTTTTGATGGTGACTGTAACTGTCCAATGTCCCTTTGAACACACTCTGACTCAAAAGCTGTGACTCCCTGCTCCTGAGTCACAAAGCTAAAGACCAGTCGAAATCTGTGTGCACAAATTACATGCAAATGAGTCTCACCATCTTCCGTCTGTTTGACTCAAATAGCAATGGAATATTTATCCCTCTTTTGGCACGAGTGCAAGTGAGGTCATCCATTACACCTCTCCAGCAAGTCAACGTTCTCATTATGCAGTGTTCACCTTTTGTTTGTTCCACATTCTGGTAAATGACTAAAAGTGCACTTGCGTAGGGTTTTGTCTGTTGGTACTGAGGAGTGTTGCATTGCAGCTCATGCATTTACATTTTTATATTTATATATTGTTAAAATACATGGCCTTTCTTACTGACTCATCAGACCTGATGGTTAAATCTTAATCTAATGATACAAATATGAAAAACTTTGGAATATTCCAGGCATACAATACTGTGACTTAAAGATCCTGTCACCTGGCATAGAGTCGGATGTGAAACATTTCCACTTTTTATAGTTTGTGGTTTTCTTGTTAAAGCAGCCCTTGATAAACAAAGAAAACTCAAAACGGACCTTGAAAGTTCTAATTATTTTCTTTATAAAGTGCATGAAGAAGAATTCTGAACTACTTATTTTTTTCAACCAGGGTTTTGTCCACATGACATCACAAGATTCCAAAGAACCTATTGTTAAAAATGGTGGCAGAGGGCGGCTGAACAATCTTTTTTTTGAGCAATTTTCTCTGCAATTGCTGGGCCAACCTACATGAAACAAAAACTAGTTGTCAGGAAGTGGTGTAAACATTCACAAACAAGGCCAGTTGCAAGCACTTTTGAAAGTTAGAATAATATGGTGGGTATGGGAATCCAAACACTATCAAATAACAACTTTGGGAAAATATTTGAACGTGTCCTTTTTCAACATTTCTTTCATAAATTGGCACGTGCCCTTAAACTGAAACACAATTCCACAAGACAAAGGAAGTAAAATGTGGGAACATGGCCTTTGTCAACTCCTCTTCTAATACCTTCAAAAATGGACTCTTAGCCTGACCATGCGTAACATAAGCCTAAACCATAAAGACAGCTGGCAAGTGCCTTGAAGCAAATGTTGTACTCCCCAATATTCCACATGACCTCATGCGTATGCCATTTACAAGATTTGCCAAAACAGGGGCACGACTAAAAAGATAATGATGTTTCACTCTTTGCAGAGGCTTTTTGGCATTTTTAGTGTCCATATGAGCGGTCATTCTCCACACTCCATCGCTATAGGCGTATGGGCGAGCTTCAAAGACACAGCTTAACAAATACTCTTTTTGTTGATTTCGCTCACGGCAATGAACAGGACACAGAAGTTTGAAGAGTACAGTTTTTTTTTGTTTCTAATGGTCAGGCTTTTGTCGAGGGGAAAAACACTGCATATAGTTGTGCGGTTGCTTAAGGCAGTTTAATTTCAAAGAATGCAACTGATTGAAACATTTGCTACCAAGAGACAGCAGTGGAGAGGTTTGCCAATACTGAGAAAGACGTAGCCTATTGACCCAGTCATAATTGATAGAAGACTAGATAGAAGATTTTTTTTTCTACGAAAGAAACCTTCTGTAACCTGGATAAATCATAAAGGAAAGAATGAATAGTACATAAAACCTTCATAAACATCAGAACATGGGCTAAATGCCTTTCCCATGCCCGGTGTGTCCAGTGCCAGTGTTATGTCTGTGACAGGATCTGTCATCAAAACTCATGCACATATCACCAAGAATACACAAAGCGCTTTACAATTATGGAGTACAGATAATTCCCACTCCACAAACAGCGATGACAGAAGCGAGACACCGAACACACTGGTGCACTGAAGCCTCCAACCTCCAGCCCTATTTCCCCAAGAGTACTCAAGGTCGGCTGGTTTGTTGGGAATATTTATCTTTGATAACAAAACCCTGCAATACTTCCAGAAATGCATTGGAGGGCGCTAATTTAACAGAAGGAAAACACAAACAAATATGCGCTTAAAACAATTGTTGGAGAAATGCATGCCAATACAAATGAGTATAATTTTTTGCACGGATAGTATTGAATGCAGATTTGGCTAAATTTGACGACACATCTGTTCTCTTAAACCGATTAGCGTTGGGGCTTTACAGATGTATAGAATACTCTTTTGGGAACATTATGCACATAATTCTATAGATACACACATTATGCTAAGGACGTAACAACTATGCAGTAGCTGACCAACCCGCGATTTAGAGACTTTTGTGAAAAAGTTGGACCCTGACACCAGTGCAACGGATATCTAGCTTAGTGTAAAAAAACATATATTCTGTCAAGGTTTTTCCTTTGGAAGCTCCTCAAACCACCAAAAGTCAGAACAAGGTCACTTCATGAATCCAAGAGTCTTCTTTCCTTTGAAGCTATTGTTGGGAAACCGTCTCAAACCTTGCCGATCCACTCCAGCAGGAATCAAACCAGAGACTTTATATAGATGGACAATACAAACCTCCTAGCTCAATGAAGCCCAATAGGGAAGCGTCTATGGACAAAGTTTTGTTCCAACATCATAAATAATCACAGTACATTATGAAGAGTGAAGAAACAGAGGCCTTATTTGTGTAGATTCTTTTTTCTTACATAGAGACTGCTAACCGTAAATTTGATGCACACTGGGCCTCAATTCCATTTTTTTATGTATACTGGGATCTGCTGCCCTATTTCACAGTATATTTATGCATATCAATAGAAATACTACTTTGACACAGACAAAGGGGGAACTGGTTATAACAGAAAATCAGCCAAAATGATGTGCTTTTGGAGATGCGGCGGTCAATATTGCGATATGGCTGGAGGTCTTTTGTTGTCAGGACCAAAGTTTACATTGCATAATAACTAAAACAAACATGTTACAACAATGTAATAATTTAAGTGGGGTCAAAAGTCTGCTTTCTTCTCCCTCCCAGCTCCTTCAAGAATGCAGCGCCAGCCCATTTCAACCGGGCAAACTCAAATTGGCAATTCACTCCCCTGTATTGATCCACTTTCAAACTAGCTGCTCAACGTCGAGGGCTGCCAACCGATCGCGCTTCTAAATGCTGGTTCCCCTCAGCTCCGGTGCCTGCGGGTTCTCCGTGACCTTACTTATACAAGAAGCATGACTTAGAATTATTATTTGCAATGTGAGCTCGTTCCTGGAACAGACCAATGAATAACATGTTACATTCAAAGGCAATTTTCAAAGTAATAGGGGAAGAAATGTCAGCCTGATTTACAGACGGCATTTCATTTGTTTGTGAGGAATGTGCTGTGGATTTGGGCCCAATGTTTAGTACACATAATTTAAGACATCACATAAAGACTGGCTTTGATTTCTCGAGTTTCTTTAAATAATCTATGCAGACAGTATTCGTTGGCTTCAAAGCAGCATAGTGATTTGAATTTGTTGATGTACCCTACAGGTGAAACGAGGAAAATTAGAATATCGTTCAAAAGTTCATTTATTTCTGTAATTCAACTTGAAATGTAAAACCAATATGACAGGTTTATGCAGATAAAATCTCAAACAATCTTACTGCAATTCTTCAGTTGTATGCACAGCTAAACAGAACTATATTAACCTTTTGAAACCAGAGCTGCCACCCAAGTCTCAAAGTTCAAAGACCTAATGGTCGTAGGTTCAAGCCCACCACGACCCATGTCACCTGCTCTCACTGATGTCTGCTGTCGTTGTGTCGTTGAGACGCTCAACTCCACATTGCCCGAAGTCTCCGCTGAAAGACCAAGGCCATCTCGTCAATGACGGAGAAGCCATCTTCCCGTGGACTCATCACCTGCAGGAGGATCAGCGAGGGACTGGTGCTATGAGACTTGGGTGGCAGCTCTGATTGCCACCCCCCTGACCCAAAAATGGAATAATAAAGGGGAAGAAAATGACAAAATGACATGACGTGACAATCTTACGGAAAATTTGACAAAAGGTTAAAATAGTTCCGTTTAGCTGTGCATACAACTGAAGAATTGCATCGTATCTAATTGTATTTGTCTTGTGATCATTTATCATCTTAATCCTTTATGCGGTTGTTTCTCGTATCTTGTTTTGGGAAGCATAATAAAGACACAGTACTTATGTGTCAAGTTACAGGTTTCCAAACTAGAATAGCCTGGCCTTTGCTCTGTTAGAACTTCCAGCCCTCATTTGGCACACAGACAATCACGATCCACAAACATTTTCTGCTGGAGAGAGCCTCTTATCTTCTGCCCTGGATTATATCACATTTTATGATGTATTTGTTTCCAAGCGTTTCACAGTTACACGCCTGTTTATGGCCGGTCCATGTAGGGAACTGCAGCAGATGGATGCGGTCAGATCACATGACTGGGTAAAAACATAATGCATAAGTATGACTGCATATTGGGTTAGGCTGTGTAGGGTTTCCATGCATCTGTGCTCATGGAGGAAGTTAAAATGCGATAATTGATTTACTAAGAGCTGCTTAAAGGACACTTATTATGAAAATCTCCTCTTTTGAGCTTGTTACAACATTGTTTCTTCATCAAAAACAGACCTGGAGTAGTTATTAGATGTATCCACACTCATATCAGGAACTTCTGGCACAATCATTAACTTTTAAGTTTTCAAATAAGGCCGTACCCCAGTAGCCTGAACTAGTGTGCTTGTTTTTTTTTTTTTAAAGGTGCAAAATATGAAAAAAATAGAGAAAAATCAGGTCTACTTACAGACCACGATAGTTACGTTTCGGACTGAGGTCCCTCATCAGACAACTATTAACTTTGCCTTTTTTGTCAAAATATGTTTCAGTCCTGTAATAGTATGATGCCATTTTACCACTACAATGTCAGGCTTAGAGAAGTTTTCTATCTTAGAACAGTTATTGTCCATAGATTAGGTGGTAGTAAGTTGGCAATTCTTTGTCTTGCATCAATGTGTTTGACGCTGGTCATTTTTAAAATTAGGAGAGTAACAAACACATTTTTGTCTTCCCTCCGGTGGTAGCACAAAGATAAGACAGGTCGACAGCATATTTTTTTCAAATTCTAACATAATCAATTCCAAGTTAAAAGTAATGCAAAATAATTCTTCTTTAAAGTAACCC